TTATCATGCACTGGCACTCTTTGGCTAGCACTGTGAATACAGAAAAGAGAATTCTGGCTGTCAGTGACCTTATATTTTTGTATGTTTTTTGTTTTTGCAAATTTCCTCATTTTGGAACTATGTAGAAGTACTATAAATCCTCAATAAATAAATGTATCATTATAATGTTTATTTAACTATTATTTTGAAAATGATGCTCTTCAGTCCACTTTAGTGTGTAGCTATGTTTTAAAAGAGCCCAGTGCAGATTCAGTTTATTATTTCTATAACTACTAAAACCAAACAATATTTACATATCCTGGATTTCCACTCTGATCACTTCACTACTCTCACATCTTAAGTGGTTTCTGAGTTTTATAGGATCAGATCCAGAATTCTTGGGACACTAGTTATTTGCTTAAATCATTAGAAAGTTGTATTTTCAACTATTATTTCTGCTATTATGGTTCTTTCCCCACTTTTTGCTGTATTTCCTGAGATATTTTCATTGTTTCTAAGTCCTTCTGATTTAGAAAAATATACCCAGTTTCAGTTAACAGTATGTATTAGTTAAAGTAATGCTCAAATAGTAAATTAAAAAATCCCAGGGGCCTAACATAATTTCTGGTTGCTGGTGTCCTAAGGAGTAGATGGCTGTGATAGTTAATTGTATGTATCTACTTGACTGAACCACAGGATACCCAGATATTTGGTCAGATATTATTTTAGGTGTGTTTGTGAGGGTGTTTTTGGATAAGATTAACATTTGAATGGTAGGCCGAGTAAAGCAGATTGCCCTTCCCCTAGATGAGTGGCCTTATCCAATCAGTTGAAGGCCAGAATAGGACAATAAAGCTGATACTCCAGTGAGGAAGAGGGACTCTCCTGCCTAGCAGGCTGAGCTGAGACTTCAGTTTTTTTCCCTGCCCTTGGACTTGAACTGAAACACTGGCTCTGCTTGGGTCTTGAGCCTGCTGGCTTTCAGACTGGAGTTTATAGCATTGGCTGTCCTGACTCCCAGGCTTTTATACTCAGGCTATCACTGCATTGTTAGCTTTCCTGGGTCTCATCTCACTCCATTCACCTGAGTCATGCTTAACTCTAGAAAAGCACAGTATAGTTTTGTCTCCTGGGAAAAAAAGAAAACATCTGTGGTGCTCAGCCAGAAATCTCTCCCAAGTATCTCGTACTTGGCCAGAGTTAGTTATACTTCGCTGTTATTGAACCAGCCCACAGGCAATGCAGAGACCATACATGAGGTCAAAGATACATGCAAATGGATGTACTTCTCCATTGCTTGCTTTCTTCACAAATATTTTGTGATTTCAACAACCTGTATGAAGTGAGGAATACACAGGAAGCTTAGAACCCTGGGCTTTTATATTTTACACATTTGTAAGGCGGCAAGGGGGTAGCATCTGCACTAGAAGTTCTGTATTATACCATCTAAACAAATTCTTGCTTTACTAATCCTGTATAGCTTAGGACAACCATATAGCTCAGTAAGAAATTAGAAGACAACTAACACTACAGAGCAATTGGACTTTGATACATGTACACAAAACACTTCACCTAACAATAGCAGAAAGAGAAATTAATGCCAGTCTTCCTCAGACTCTTCCAGAAAATTGAACAGGAGGAAATACTTCCAAACTCACTCTATGAGGGTGGCCTTACCCTGATAGCAAAGGCAGACCAAGACACAGAAAACTACAGACCAATATCCCTGATGAGTATTGATAAAAATACATATTTTTCTTAAGTGCACACAGAATATTCTCTAGGATAGACCATATGTTATACCACAAAACAAATCTTAACAAATTTTTAAAAGTTTGTTTAAACTGGAAAAGATTCAGAGTATCTTTTCCAGTTGCTTGTGATGAAACTCAAAATCAGTAGCAGAGGGAAAGCAGGAAAAAAAAATCCACAATTATGTGAAAATTAAACAATACACTTTAAAACAACCAAAGGGTCAAAAAAGAAATCACAAGGAAATTGGAAAAGATCTTGAGATAAATGAAACAAAAAACAAACAAAAGAAAGCAGACCCAAGCTTATGGTATAGAGTGAAGACAGTGCTAAGAAGGAAATTTATGGCTGTAAACACTTACATTAAAAAAGAAAGATCTTTTATTAACAACCTAACTTTACATCTTAAGGAACTAGAAAAACCCAAAGCTAGAAAAAGGAACATATAATAATGCAGTGGGGGTAAGATTAAAATAAGAAGTAGCATGGTATAATGTAAGGTTTTGGATTCTCACCTTATCTCACATTTGCAATTATGAGAATTTGATCAGGTTTCTGAACCTTACAGTTTTCCGTATGTAGATTGGGAGTACTAATGCCTTTCATAGTGATGTCCTAGACTGCAAAGATTAAATTAGCTAGTTGTTTTATTCAAATGAGTGATTATAGTCATAGAACTTCAGAGAAGAAGCAAGCTTTCCAGATAAAGGGTTTTTTAAATTTTTTTCCTGAAGCTTTGGCAACTGGTTCTGAAGGAAAGTTAGGAAGAACTGTGATACAGAAAACAAACAGTAGACACTATTTTTATTTAAAATAGGTAACCGGTAAGGATCTACTGTATAGCACAGGGAACTCTGCTCAATACTCTGTAATAACCTAAATGGTATTTTCAACAAATTAATTATTAAACTAAAGTGTGCATTCATTTTGAAGGAGAAGATATGGGGCTAAAATGATATTAATGTTCATTATTACTGCTGTTATTTATTTTATGCATTTCTGTTTACTCAAATGTTATTGATAGTGTCAAGAATACCTTTTACTACATTGTGTAAGCCATGGAAAGCTCTTTAATTTTTAGAACCAGGAAGCTTTCAGGGTTATTAACAATTGATAAGCAATTTGCAACTGTACTCACTTGTGTGCCAGTAAGTGAAAATTTTAAAAATCCATAGCTTCCTGTTATTGAGTTCAAATTGATCCCTTTACATTTGCTTTCTATCTCAGTTAACCTTTTTTTAATGACTCTAGAGAAGTTACACTCTTCTAATTAAACTATGAGTAGTATGCATCATTTTTGGATTCTTTTCCATAAAAATGGTGATATTAATACATCTTTTGGTATAGAATGTTCATTTTTTTTTTAAAGATGCGTTTTCAAAGTAAATTTTAAAATTGCAGTCAGTGGCCTTTAGAAGGGATTGAAGCCAACTGGCCCACACATTCATGTAGAGGTTCACTCTCATTAAAAAGCTCTAGTTGAGCTAACCAAGATGGAAGAACGCTTTTTATAGTCTGATGTTTCTTTTTTTAAAACACAGCTTTATTGATGTATTATTTGCATACCTACAAGTTGACCTATTTAATGAGTACAGTGAGTTTTAACATATTTAGAATTACACAACCATTACCATATTCCAATTTTAGAACACTTTTGTTACCCTCAAAAGAAGCCTTGTACCAATTAACCCTTCCTTCCCACTCCTTTCCTTAGGCAGTTACTAATCTATTTTCTGATTCTATGGGTTTGCCTGTTTAAATGGGGCCATACAATACATGGTTTTTTATGACTGACTTCTTCCACTGAGCATAATGTTTTTGAGATTCATCTGTCTTATAACACTCCAGTACTCCATTCTGTTTTATTGTTAGATAATCTTCCAATGTGAATAGTCCACATTTTGTTTATCTATTCATCAGTTGATGAACTTTTGAGTTGTTTACACTTTTTTGGCTATCATTAACAACTATCATTATTTGGCTACCATCATTAAGCATTTATATTCCAAGGTTTTGTTTGGGCATCTGTTTTCATTTCTTTTGGGTAGAAGAGTAGAATTGCTGAATCATAAGGTAATTCTATCTTCAACATTTTGAAGAATTGCCCTGCTGTTTTCCAAGCTCATTTTGTATTCCTGCCAGCAATGTGTGAGGAGTTCAGTTGTCCACATCCTCCCAACACTTGCTGTTATTGTCTCTCTCTGAGTATAGCCATTCTTGTGGGTGTAGGGTGCTGTGTTGTAAATTCAGTGTTTCTTAGGTAGACCCATGTAGGTCTATAAATATGTTCTGCAGCAGTTAAGAGTTCTCTCAGAATATACTTTTTTTTTTAATAGAAACTCTTTCATGTTGATGGTAATATAACTATACCCTGGATCATTTGAATGACTATCTCCTAATTTCATTATTCACATTTACTTGTTTAAAAGTCCACTGGTGCCAAGAAATAAACCCTGAATTTTTAACATGCTAGTGGGAAAGAGGAGGGTGTAGTTATGTAAATTACATATTTCTGCCAAGAGGCAGTCAAGTAATATTTGTCTTCTACTCATCTCAATGAATCTTAGAAGGAACAGAGGTTTTGGAGCTTTTGAATGGAGAAGTGGTTATGTATGTAATTGAATCATCATAGTGTTACAGGGATGATAAATGCAAAAGAACTTCATTCACAGCAGTCAACCTCATTGCAGTAAATCCTGTATTTATTTGAATTTTCAGCTGTAATTTGTTTTCAGTAAAAGGCTGTCACTTTCAGTTGTGGTAAAATTATTTTTCTTTTTTTGGTGTTTACATATAAATGTATTTTGGCTTTACAGTTATATGTTTATACACACTTAAGCAACATTATAATAAAAAAGTAACTTAAGCGAACATTTAGGAATCACCATCCTTTTTTAAAAAAACATGAGTTTGTATGTTTATACACACTTAAGCAACATTATAATAAAAAAGTAACTTAAGCGAACATTTAGGAATCACGATCCTTTTTTAAAAAACATGAGTTTGGTGGTCACTTCTGTATCTTTAGGTTTGTGCCATTGGCCCTTTGCTTTTCAAGGCAGGCCTTCAGCTGTAGCTGCCCATGGGATTTTGAAGTTTGTAGTATCACTTGTTGAAAGCATAATTTAAGTAAGTTTGGTAAGTTTTAAAAGCCATCCTAGAAAAAAAGAGGTGTTAAAGGAGAACTTATTTCTTGGTAAGTATACTTACACTTATTTTTCATGACGTTTTATTTTTACTGATTACTGTCACTTTTACAGATAATCGGTATGCGTTTCCAAGGCTTTCGGCTATGTTTGGGTCTTCTTTTCATCTCAATTAATGCAGAATTTATGGATGATAGTGTTGAGGTGGAAGACTTTGATGAAAATTCAGAGGAGACTGATGAAAATGAACTCTCCTCAGAGGTAAGGTTATTGAGAACCAAGCTATCCATTATTCCTTTACATGATACATAGGGCTGACTAATTTCTTAGGATTCCTTTCAATTGGAATAGCCTTTAGTTTGTAAATAAATAGAAAAAAAAATTGCCTTTTCCCAACTATTTGTTGCTGTGTTTTTTAGGGTGCCCATGTGCTATAGAAATTTGTGCATGGCATTTAGCACAGTTTTATTACCAGATAAATATGGGAAAGATTTTTATGATCAGACTTGGAGTTCATCACTAGCTAAAGAGGGCTAAATACTTAAACCCTTTTCAGATAAAAGAAAAGATAGTAATTTTCAGTTCTTCTAAAAGTAGAGAAAATGGTGTTTATTCATTTCTCTGAGGAAAGAAATGCTTAATAGGAGGATGAGTTCGAAAGGAGAGTGATGATGAAATAGGCATTTATTTAGTAAGGCTCCCACTGTTTCGGTCTCAGCACGAAGATCTGTGTTTTGAGGTGGTGACTGACAGGAGTCTGGAAAAGTTTTTAGAGGTTTTTGTGTACTCTGACAATCCATAAGAACTTTCACACTGAGGAATATTCGTATCTAATATTGGGACAATCAAAATTTTTTCAGAAATATTTTTGGTAAGAAAATACCAATTATGTTCTGCTGGCTGCTGTTTAAAGGACTGAGAAGAATAATACATAGTTTTTTTTGATGTATTTATTTTAATTGGAGAATAATTACTTTTCAGTATTGTGATGGTTATTGCCATACATCAACAGGAATCGGCCAAGTTGTTATAACTCTTTTTAGAGTTTTTTTAAATTTGCAACTGCATGTGTTGTTTAGCTGTTCAAGGTGAATATTCTTTCTCCTGTTAAGTTTGAAGCTCCACAAACTTCAAACTTAAACATTAAAATTTTTAGGTTTAAAAATTTAAATTTCTTTAAAATCTGGTTCTGTGACCCATAGAAAGTAAGTAATAATCAAAGTGCTTATGGCTGACTTAAGATACAGCTATTATGAGGGTTTCGGTAGGTTAATACTTTAAAGAAATTGCCAGATACCTGCGACTCTTAACTATGCGCTGTGCTTAGTCACTCAGTCGTATCTGACTTTGTGTGTGTGTGACCTCATGGACTGTACTCAGCCAGGCTCCTCTGTCCACGGGGATTCTCCAAGCAAGAATACTGGAGTAGGTTGCCATGCCCTCCTCTGGGGGATCTTCCCAACCTGGGGATAGAACCCAGGTCTCCCACACTGCAGGTGGATTCTGTACCATCTCATCTACCAGGGAAGCCCAAGAATCCTGGAGTGGGGAGCCTATCCCTTCTCCAGGGGAACTTCCTGGCTCAGGAAGCAAGGTCTCCTGCATTGCAAGCCAGATTCTTTACCCGCTGAGCTACCAGGAAAGCCCATGACTCCTAACTATATTTGATGATAATTTGAAAAGATGGTAAGAAATGGGAGAGAACAATTTTTGATGCTTCTAATTTTATAGCATGAAAATTCTAGGTATGGTAAAGTATGAATAAAGTATATTGGCCCATTTTTGCCAATGCATAAAAATATAGAGAACAGTAAAGTTGTAATTCAGTAAACTTCACAGGAGATGGGCAATTTTGGTAGCAGAATCTTGACCCTGTAGAAGTATCTGGGGTTTTGTTTAATTACTGATTTTCCTCCCTTAAATAGAAAGTATGCTATTAGGGGAGGTTAAGGACAGCGAAAGTTGGGTCTTCATTGCTACGCAGGCTCTTCTCGAGTTGCAGGGCGTGGCTTTCTCATTATAGAGGCTTCTTTTGCTGTGGAGCAGGGCTCTAGGCCACGTGCGCTTCAGAAACTGAGGCCCAGAGGCTCAGCAGCTGTGGCTCTAAGGCTCTAGAAGTGAAAGTGAAAGTCACTCAGTCGTGTCTTTGTGACCCCGTGGACTGTAGCCCACCAGTCTCCTCTGTCCACGGAATTTTCCAGGCAAGTATGCTGGAGGGGGTTGCCATTTCCTCCTTCACTGAGACTCTAGAGCACATGCTTAATAGTTGTGGTTCACATGTGGCGTGTGGGATCTTCCTAGATCAGGGATCAAACCTGTGTCTTCTGCATTGGTGGGTAGATTCTTTACCACTGAGCCACCAGGGAAGCCCAGGAATTAATTTTAAACTAACCTATGTGCTTATTAAATTGTTCATCTTATATGTTTGTGATCATGCTACTTCTTTTGCTTCTAATAATTTTTATCCCCAAATACTGTCACCTGTTAGAATCCTTTCAAGGCCGTGTCCACTGCATGATGAGACCTTGGCTGAGTACTTCCTCCCATCCCTTGTGTTAGAGGGAGTCAGTGTATTCTGTTTGCATGTAGTGTTTTTTTGTATTATGTATCTCTTATGTTCTGTATTTTATTACCATAAGGATATAAAGTTTTGAGGAGACCATGTAATGTACTATCTCTATTACCTATATGTGCATTCCATACTAGGTTCTTAATTAATGAGATTATTTAATTAAAGTGTTTGTGAGGGTGAATAACTTTATATTTTTAAAATCTATTTTCTAGATTAAATATAAGACACCTCAGCCTGTAGGAGAAGTGTATTTTACAGAAACTTTTGATAGTGGAAAGCTGGCTGGGTAAGTATTCATTCAGGAGGATTTTTTCCTTGATTTGATTAGCTTTTTTGAAATTATTGGTTGTTAATTTGTGAAAATTGCCTCTGCCACAGAACTATAAAAAAAAGATTAATGTACTAGTTAAGGTAAACTAGCACCTTAACACGTTTTCATTATTGATAGAAATGTTTAATTTGAATTATTTATTTATACAAAGAATATATATTAATGAAGTATGAATATAAAGTAAAAACTTAGAACATTTCTTCATTCCTTAGGAAAGATATTAATAGTTTAATTTCAGATGTTTCATCCTAAATAATGGTTAAAAAAAAAAGATTACTATCTGTTGATTATTATATTGCATGTAGGTAAGAACTGTCTTAATCTGCCTTTTACCAGTGAAGAAACTGAGGTTTAGTGTACCTTAACTATATGATCATTGTTGTTTAGTTGCGAAGTTCTGTCTGACTGTCTTTGTGACCCCATAGCTTGTAGTCCACCAGACTCTTCCATCTGTGGAATTTCCTAGGCAGGAATACTGGAGTGGGTTGCCATTCCCTTCTCCAGGGGATTTTCCCGACCCAGGGATCACACCTGCGTCTCCTGCATGCAGGCAGATTTTTTACCACTGAGCTACCAGGGAAGCTCACCTATGATCATACAGCAAGTAAATTGCAGATTCCAAATTTAATTTAACTCTAGCTTTGCAAGATAGTTGGGCTTCCCTGATAGCTTAGTTGGTAAAGAATCTGCCTGCATTCAGGAGACCCCCAGTTTGATTCTTGGGGTGGGAAGAACCGCTGGAGAAGGGATAGGCTACCCACTCCAGTATTCTTGGGCTTCCCTTGCGGCTCAGCTGGTAGAGAATCTGCCCGCAGTGTGGGAGACCTGGGTTCAATCCCTGGGTTGGGAAGATCCCCTGGAGAAGGGAAAGGTTACCCTTTCCAGTATTCTGGCCTGGAGAATTCCATGGATTGTATGGTCCATAGGGTCACAAAGAGTCGGACATGACCGAGCAACTTTCACTTTCTTTGCAAGATAGTATATAGACATCCTTATTTAGCCTCTAAGTATTCATGTATCTTAGAGTGAAAAGAGACTATTGGATAATCTTTTGTTGTATTTCTGATACACATTGTATCTATAAATTGTTAGTTTTATTTTAAATGATATATATTTCTTTCAATTTTATTTATAGGTGGGTATTATCTAAAGCAAAGAAAGATGATACAGATGCGGAGATTTCTATATATGATGGTACAGTATTATTTAAATATTCAACATAATAAGGATGACCCAGAGTTCATGAGCTTTTGAAATTATATTTCTGTTAAATATATATATATGGTGGCCTCAGGATCCATCCTGCTTCACAATAGAATGTTCAGTCTTTTGTCTTGTCTCCTTTCCAGTATTTCTGGAAGTCCAAGTAACCCGTACTTAAGCCACCATCCAGGTTTCTAACTCTAAACGGTTGAATTTTCACTCCCCTGCAGTTAGTCTTTTGCAGGATTTCCCAGGCTACTGCTGTTCTCTACTGTTTCTTCTCAAGCATAGGCCCATCTCAGTTAGGTTATAACTTATGGCATGATCCCCCTAGAGCATGCAAGACAGGGGACGTCTATGAGAGCCAAAAGAAATGTGGCTGCTCCTGGAGCCACCATCTCCAGGCCCATAACGTGTCTCTGATAGGTTATCTTCAGGCTTACCCTTAGAAAGAAAAGTCCTATTAGCAAGGGTCATCTTTTCTTCCTCAACAGGACTCTCCTGGAGTATGATGAAAGAATTTCTTCTTCCTGTTAGTCTAAAACCAGCCTCCTCAGTTGTTAAATCCTAAAGCAGGATCAGCCTCAGTCAAGGTGATGGGTAGTGGGAATTTCCTCTCCCTCAGACCACCTAAGATCCATAAGGATGTGACCTCACATTCAGACCCCATTAGGAGTTACATGAGAATAACAACAGAACAGATAACAGCATGTGTAGGAGGCCAGCTGTCTACTTCCCTTTCCATGGTGTCTATTTCAGTGTGAGATACAGATCATGCCTGCGTGTCTTCATGCTGTGTTCTCCATCCTAGTACATGTGCTTCTAAACTCCAGAAGGAACTCTGCCATATTCACAGGACAAGCAACACTGAGCTTAGTCATCTGAATTCCTTTAGAGAAGAGAATGACTGCCCTCAAAGAAGCAGTGTTTGCAGAGATAGAACTGTACCTAAAATCATACCCACAGAAATACCTGCCATCAAACAGAATGCTTGACTTAAAACATCTATGTTTAGCTTACTTTACAGTTTTTTAGAACAGCATTGGGTAGATGTATGTTTTTATTTTAGAAGTATCCATTGATGGAATTTTCCTAAAATTAGGTTATGGTCTATTTTAGAAGTGAGTTTAAGTCTGGACGGAATGACTCTTACTGCTTTTAAATGAGCTTTTCCCTCAGCTTAAAATTAGAACTCAAGCAAGCAAGCAAAAAATAAGTTTACTAACAACACTTATGTTTTGTCCATAGTCTTATTAAACATAATTACCCACAAAATAATTTTTTAGTGTATTAGATTTGGTATGGTTGGTTGACTTTTCAATTTCTTGAAAGTACCTTTGAAAAATACAGAACCTCTTATTAAAGATTCAGGCCCTGAAAGTGGCATTTTGTCTGTAAATATTAGTGATGTCTTTTATACAGTGGTTAGTTGAGACCAATATCAATTTCTTTGCAGGAATATTTAGTACTGTAGTCATTAATCATAGCTTCTGTCAAGTGCCACTTGAGTAAATCCAATTGCTCCGTTTTCAGGAGCAATCTGTGAGAAACATTATATGCTGGAGAACAGGGTTTGCATTTGAGGGAGACTTATTTAAATTGTCATATTAAGTTATTAATAAAAATATAGCTGTTTAAAAAAATCACCAGTTCTTTAAGTGACTAATTTTCAGGCTATCTTATAAAATTTTTGAATTCTTTTCAAGATTTTACTTAAATCAGAGTTCACATTACCTGGCCTTGAGTAAAGATTGGTTAATGAAAAGTTACTACTGATTTGAAGTTAGGAAAAACTTCTTGTCCTTGAGGAATAATCACCTTGTCACAGGTTTTCTAAAATGAAAGTAGTACTTTGAGAGAGTACCTTTTCATGGCTGATAAATATATGCACGTAATTACAAAAGAAAGACAACGTAGTTTTAAAAAATCCTTTACTATCAGTATCCTAAAATCTCTAAAGATATAGTTGTTACTTCTTAAAAGAAGGCCTTTGTGATTTGGTCACGCCAAAGATTAGTAGTGATAATAGAGTTGCTCATCAGTGTGAGAGAAGAAAATGAATTCACCTTTTTAAGAAAAGTTTAGTATAACCAAATTGGGGGACAAAAAGGAAAACAAACGTGAAAAGTTGAAAAAATGAATTTTTGAAAGCCCAAGAAGGTGTGCACAATGATAGACCTCAAAACACCCCTCTCTGATTAGTGAGACTGTTCAGGTTCTTGCACTGTTGTTTTTTAGAAAGAAAAAATGTATATAAAGTGCATTGGTAAATTCAGAAGTGCCCATTAATATTTCATGTTGGCACAATTCTGGAAAATAGCCAGCGTTCACTAAATTTTCTTGGACTAGGCAATACATCTAATTTTCAAAACTGGAACATTTTATACAAACTAATATAAATTAGTTATTTACTGTTTTAAAAAGAGTAAAGAGGAAAGTCCAGCCCACAACTTTGGGGCTACAGATGACCCATTCCGCTTTGTATTGGATGCATCCCATGATCTAATTGCAGGAACTTCCTGGTCTTAAATGGGGGCAATTCCAGCCCAGAGAGGGCCTCACTCAGCTTTGCTCTGCTACAGACTAGTGCTAATCTAGCTTATAGGACTTTCTTGACCAAAAGTTCTGAGAACTGATTGGCTTAGCTCAGAAAGGGTAACTGCAATTTGTGTTCTTTGGCCATACAATTTTCAAAATAAAATTTAAATCGCTATAACTTCTGCCAAGTAAGAAAAATAGCTGATGACACCATGAATTTCAAAATACATAGACTGAGGCAAACTCATTTTGTGTTAAAGAGGTATTTTGTCTCCTGTGTCATTTAAAAATAAGTCATTTAAAAAATACAATGAGACCCTATGAGACAAACAAATTCTGTAATTTTGTTGATTACAGTCTCTCAGAGAAATCCAAACTAAGCCAGCTTTGGAGGTCCTTTAATTAAATGCTGTAGTGTCTGTTGTTTATTAGTTGGTCAAGAAATTCATTTGGGTTTTTCCATAAAAGGTTACAGAAACAGCTGAATGAACTTATTTTGCCAACCCAATAGTTCCCACAATTTTAGGAGAAAAGAGAGCAGACATACCTACAAGTGCAGGTACAAGTTCCTGATTTAAAATGTGATTTTATTTTTCCAAAATCAGCCTTCAAGGAAAAATCTAATTGGTTACCATTTCTGATAAATAATTTTTAAGTCAGTGTGTTTGGTTTTAGTTTAACTTGCTTTGTTTTGTATTTTAGGAAGATGGGAAATAGAAGAATTGAAAGAAAATCGAATACCTGGTGATCGAGGACTGGTATTGAAATCTAGAGCAAAGCATCATGCAATATCTGCTGTGTTAGCAAAACCCTTCATCTTTGCTGATAAACCTCTGGTAGTTCAGTAAGTTTTATTATGTTTTGAATACTTTTTCTAACATTTGTTTTAGTTTTGTATAATTTGGCTTCTGAATATGGGTATAAAATGGGTATAAAAATTCGGATTTCCCTTTCCCATTTCATTTATTTAAATACACAATGTGTGTATATGCACAAACACCCTGAAGTTTTGAACGAAGTGAAGATTTGTTGCAAAATGTATTAATATAATATTTGCTATAATATGCAGTATTTCACCAGCATAAACTATATAGTGCATATTAAAATCACCATTTTTGTTTTAACTCTTTATTTCAAATTGACTTGCTGTTGAGATGTATTAACTTCAATATATTTTAAATAGAACTATAAATATTGCTGTTGAACCAGTGGTAAGATTCAAAGGCAGTAAATTGTTTTCAAGAGGAAATGCCCTTTTAAAGGTCTGCATTCTCACAGAGTTTTCCTCTCCCCTCCCTCAAAATATGACATACACTAGTTTTGTGGTATTGTTTGCATGTGTAACTATCGTAAAATCAAGTATTGATTCCTCAAGCTTGTTTCACCTATACTGCTATAAATCCAAAATATATCTGTACAAATACAGTTACAAAACAAATGAAATTCATATTAAAAACAAAGGAAAGGAAATGTAGAAATGTTACTTTCTATCTTATATCAAAAGATTGGGCTGTCCAAAGTTAATTACAGCCTAAGAAGTACTACTAACTATAAGCTTGTTTTAAATTTTTTGTTAGCATGTTAAATATATGCCTGCATGGTATAACTAAAATGCCATTTTGTATTTTAAAAATGTAAAACAATATGACATTTGGTATAATTGGTTTAATTTTTTGGCTGTGATGCCTTGATTTAGTTGCATTGTTATTTCAAGAAATTTAAAATATCAAATGTCAAAAGAGTATACAACCATTTAAACAAATGAAGAATATTACCACAAGTATTTACTGGGATTAATATTTGAGCTTGATGTTATGGCATTATTCAGAGTTCAGTATTTATTTCTTCTTGAAAATTTGAGAGTAATCTTATTCTGTTAATTTAGGTGAATATAATATAGTTTTCTATTTTAATCTTTTGTGGCCTAAATGAAAGGGTAAAGGAAAATAATACAAAATTTAACTTCTCCAGGGTAAAATGAATCAAGTTTGGTATTTTCAGAAAGTATAAATCACTGCTAGGCAAGTAAGTGAAAGATAGCTTACAAGATTGGAAGCAAAGATAGTAAGTCTAAAAAATTATTAAAGCAATTGTGAACTGAAAAAAGAAAAGGGGAATCAAAAAGAATTGAATTAGTGGTCTTTGATATGCTTGAAAACAATTCAAAGAAGGATAGTGAGTATTTAGTTTTCTTAATTTGGATAAAATGAAATAGTATAGATAAAATAAATTTTGTTTTAACTATTATAAATACTATACTATTATAAATAATATTTATAACTATTGTAAATACTATAAATATAGTATAACTCATAAATATGAACTATTTAAGACATAACTTTAAAACTGCTTTTCCCAAATTATTAATATGCATTATGTGGTCATATAAGTTTTAGAAACTAAGAATATCTGAACCTTAAAGATAAGGAAGCATATTTGCCCATTAAAGATTCTGAAGAGTTCTACATAAGAAAACATATTTTTAATTTGAACATTGTGTTCAAACATATTTGACCACAGAAGTTTTTTCCACCCTAAACAATAATTACTATTTCATAGGACAGTTTAGAAAATGGCAGTCTAAAGAGAAGAGGGTTAACATATACTCTACATTTATCCTCATTTTTCCTGTGATTTAAGATTAGCAGCAAGCAGTCCGTCCAGCTCTATGACTTACATTTCACTGATCCTCGATTTCATTGTGAACTGTTTATACTAGGCACAAGGTAATGATTTGAAAAATCTGGAAGTATGCAGCATATGAGGTAGACATAGTGATCAAGTCTAGGCATAATAAGATATCGTAACTCTCTTCCATTTATAAAGACAATTTACACAGTTGTTATCTCTAGTTCTTTTCACAGATCCCTCAGATCACCTATAATAAAGCTTTATCATTTTATTTTACTTAGAGTCGCAAATATTTACCTTTAGTTCACATTATACACCATTTGTTTTACTTCATGCTCTTCAAAGACATGTTTCATGAAGGAAAAGTTTATCAGCTACTGCTAAAATAAAAATATTGATAAGGCCTTGAGGAAAACAAACTCCTTAAACTCCTTCATTTAAAACGTGAAAAAGAACAAAACAAAACTTTTCTTCTGATCATAACAGAAGCTAACACTTTTGAGCATTTATTGACCCATCACTGTGCAAGATGACTTCTAGTCATCTTAACAGTCCTTAGAGGTGTAGATATGGGCAGTGTTCCCTCGTGATAGATGAGCAAATAGAGACCAGAGCTTCTACCAAAATCAAGAACAAATCTCAGATCTTTCTGACTCCAAAGTGCTTGCTTGTAACCACTGTTGTAGAAATCTGGAGAAATAAAGCAGAATATAAAGTAGGGAGGGGAAATCACCATCAAGTCCAGCACCTCAGAGATTATCACTTAAAATTTTACTGTATTTTCTGTACTCTTTTCTATATAAAATGCATATTACTAATTGGGCTCAAACTGTCAAAGTTTTGTATACTTTTTTTTTTTACTTTGTCACTGAAGTCTCTTCAGAAACATTTTAAACTATAATTTTTTATTAAAATTATCACTATATCCTGTTACTTCTCTGGTTTTCATCTGCTTTTGCTTTAATTCATTAAATCAGTCATAACAGTTTTGGTTTTCACTGTTTTTCACTTTGATATCCATTTCCTCATTGACTTTTGTCACACGTAATTCACCAATTTACTGAAAATCTCTTCTAAATATTGTTCAGTAAGACTGTCTATTGCCTAAACAAGACAATAGAACTTTTGATGAGAATTACAGTGTTGTAAATCCATGAGAAGACTGCCATGTCAGTTCACTTTTTTAGCTGTTAACACTGTATTTCCCCTACCTCCTGGCTGCTAAGATATGAAATATTCCAGGTTTACAAAATCTCTTTGCTGGGGTTATTTAATTAAATGTACAACTTTATAAACCTGGTTTAGGTGTAGCTGAACTAAAAGACAAATTAGTATTAAACTGAATAGCTAAGATCATTAGCAATTTCCTAGAAACCTATGCTGTAACTATGATCCCCATAGTCTTTGTTTCTCACTTTATAAAAAGTATGTATAGTACGTACCTTATTTTAGTTTGAAGTTTCCTGCTGAAAGTTTTAATCAAAGTATCTTATTCTTAATTAAACAGTTTTGATGAAAAGATTTATTTCAGCAAATTAGTTGGCTTTTCTGTAGTTGTTTATAGTCATTCTATTTTCAATATTTTAAGAATGTTCATGGAAAAGGCCTTTCTGCTTGTCCTCACGGGTTGTGGATGTACTTGGTGTGAGCTTTCTGGTAATGTAAATGTGTGTTTAAATGAATTGAGAGTAATACATTAGATTTTGAAGAGCAATTAGTAATTTTTATTTATCAGCAGTATGATTCTTTTTCCCTTCATTTAGATATGAAGTAAATTTTCAAGATGGTATTGATTGTGGAGGTGCATACATTAAACTCCTAGCAGACACTGATGGTTTGAATCTGGTATGATATTTTAATGTTTAAGAAAGCCTTATTAAAGTTAATAAGTATTTCTAAGGAGTAATTGACACAACTGAAATTTTTATTTTCACCTGAAGTCAAAAATAACTTTGAAAATTTGCATCTAAGATGAATTTATATAGCTTTTCCATGTGCCTTCAAGTTAAATACACAGCCATGTTACTTGATGGCATCAGTTTTGTAATCTTTAGCAACGTGAAAAAGGTTGCCAAGTCTATAAAATAAAATATAACCTGGTGCTTATAAATGTCACCGAAAGATCAACTTACAGTTATTTTCTGTACAAAGTAATAATCATAAGTTTGTTAGGAGAAGTAAGATAATGGAGCAAAGTAGTAAAACAAAATGGCCAAAGAATCAAATTAAAAAGGCAGGTCAGCTCAGGAGTTAGCAGTCTGCAAAAATTTACTAACTTAAAAATGTTAAGTTCATAATGAAGCAGGTTATATTAGAACCATTTGAAATTTGGAGACATTTCTTATAGCATCCTCCCACAGGAGGCTATATCAGAATTCCTGTATATAACAAATATAAACCGAATGAGATGTTAATGAGATATTTGTCAGAATTCCTGGATATGAAACATTAAAGGATTCATTTACTTAGATAAGGTCAAGGGGAAGCCGTTTGTAGTTTATGGTGCAACTCTCAGGTGTTGTGAGGTGACAATCACCTGGGGTACCATGGCAATAATAAAGTCAAATACCAAGTATTTTTCTAAACACTTCATCTGGTTAACTCAGTTAATCCTTAGAGAAGCCTTATAAGGTACGTACTATTATTATCCCCATCAGAGGTGATGGAATAGAACGACAGGGAGGTTGGAAGATTTGCTCAGGGCCACACATAGCTGGTTTAAAGGCAACAGCAGGATCTGAACCTCAGTATCTGATGCCAGATGCCATGCTCTTAACCAGTGAAAGTGAAGTGAAATCGCTCAGTCGTGTCTGACTCTTTGCAACCCCCTGGACTGTAGCCTACCAGGATCCTCAGTCCATGGGATTTTCCAGGCAAGAATACTGGAGTGGGCTGCCATTTCTTAACCAGTAGGCCATGCCAAATGAATCCATGGGATTTTCCAGGCAGGAATACTGGAATGGGTTGCCATTTTCTTCTCCAGGGGATCCTCCCAACCCAAGGATTGAGCTCAGGTCTCCCGCATTGCAGGCAGACTCTTTACTGTCTGAGCCTCCCAGGAATCTCGAAGAGAAATGACTGTGGTAAAATGGGGAGCAGGTCACTGTATCTGTTCTTCACTTTGTGCTTCATTAAAGGGCACCACTTTCTGGTGTCTTACTGAATAGTAGTAGTGGCTAAGTAAGCATTGTAGTCTTCAGTCACAGTATTTTTTTCTCTATGCTTTATTTTCTTAATAAGATATTAACCAGATCTATATAGAGTAATTAAAGCCTATTATGTTGTTAAAGTGGTTCCAGCTTCTCTCCTACATCTTCAAAATGGAAGTAGTGTGTGCATTTTAAGAAAAAAAATCTGTTTTGAAATAAAATTTGTCATTTTTCCACATCCTTTATTGTCAATGTGTCAACTAACTCTTTGGTGAATTAGCATTTAATACATTTTTGTTACCTCTACCCAGTGGGGTAGAATAGAGAAACTCATTAACTATTTCAGTTCTGGACTAATCCTAATACTCATCTCTCTTTGAAGGAAAATTTCTATGATAAAACATCCTATACCATTATGTTTGGACCAGATAAATGTGGAGAAGATTATAAACTTCATTTTATCTTCAGACATAAACATCCCAAAACTGGAGTTTTTGAAGAAAAACATGCCAAACCTCCAGATGTAGACCTTAAAAGGTTCTTTACAGACAGGAAGACTCATCTTTATACCCTTGGTATATCCTTTTAATTCATTCATTAATTTAAAAGTATTTGCTGACTACCACTATTTTCACGGCAAGTGCTTTGGGAGAAGCGGGCATAGGTACTTCTGTTAAGGATTTATCTTTTAAGGAAAATCAGACACACATACTTACAGCACAGGCAGAAAGTGCCATATGAGATACAGTTAAGAGCTCAAAAGCAATACTGCTTTCACTTAAGAAACTTCGGGAGAATCTGGTGAAGGTGATTCTATTTGACCAAATCTTGAAGTTTAGATATACCATGTGGAACATAGGAGAGGAAAGGGGTATTTTAGGTACCCTGACATTAGTGATGCTGACAGAATAGAAAACTGGAAAATAAGGTTAAAGAGGGAGAAACCCTTAACATTAGACTTTACTAGGCAGTTGTCATTGTTGGGTCCTGCCTGGTGGTAGTTAAAGGGAAAGCACTCAGAAACCATCTATTAACATACTTAGCTTTACTTTTTCAGCTAGGAGTTTGTGTATACACTGACTGGGAGGAATATTATATAGGATTGTCTCTCCTCTTTCCAGGTGCATATAGTTATGTACTGTGATTACTTAAAATTCTAGCGTGTCAGAACCTAACAGGACAACTCCATCCAAGACTAACATGTATCAACTTTCTTCCTCAAAACCGCAGTTACAGAAACTTTCCTTTTTGTCTGTCAAGGCAGAGACCAATTTTATTTTTAGTATTAATATCAAAAACCTTTCTCTGAAATTGGAAAATAGTACTGGGCATTTGGGGGAATGTAAGCTAAACTGTCAAAACATAGAAATAATGAGAAATTAGAACAGAAAAAAATGAATTTTAATTAGGCTTTGTATAAACCCAGTCAAAACCAATATGATAGTATATATATCAGAGGACACAATTCCACTTTCAGGAATTTATCCAAAGAAAATAATCCAGAAGGAAGAAAATGACCTGTGTGTAAAAATATACTGTAAATTGGAAGCAACTCAAATGTTGCAGTAGTGGTTTTCTTTCTATGCAGTACAGTACAAAAAGATAACTATGAAAATGTTCAGCTTATAATATTAAAATGGGGAAAGAAAGAAAAGTTGGAGGCACATTCTGATGGCCACTAGACAAATTATGCAAACAAAAACAGTTTAGAAAAGTCTTTAACTTTTATTAATCACCTGATAGGTACCATGCTCTGTGCTAGGTGCTTTGTTGAGAACAGTCATGTGAGGTGAGCAGTTTTTATTTCGCCTTAATTTAGGTTAAGTAACTTGCCCTAGGAAATAAAAGTAATTGGTAGAGCTGGAATTAAAATTCAAGCAAATTCTTAAACATTTGCTTTTCTTACTATGATACACAAAAACTTTGTTGTGCTAGGATTATCCACTTTTAAAGGACTTGTTTCCTTTTAAAAAAAGTTTCTGTGTTATATTCTCATAACATTATTCTGTAGTTGTTCTAAGAACCTTACAGAATCCCTTTAAAAGAGTTTATAATCCAGTGCCTTTTGTGGTGAATTCATTTAGAATATTTAAAACCATTTTCTAATGGAAAGTTTTTTGGCTAAAGATTTTTGATAAAGATGTCTTTTCATATGGGTATAATTGTCATGTGCTTTTTTGGATTTACTGTAATTTTAAAATACTTAAGTTGCAAAATTGAGTCAGAAAATACTCTTTCAGGGGTTTTTCTTGAGAAATGCGTGTTTTGAATTAGAAAGAGTCTAGTACATTTTTGCATTTAAGATCTCATTGTTAGTTGTACTTCAGTCTTTTTTCCTTTGTGTAGTAATATAGTTTTATAGTCTCAGCTGTAATAGAAAATGGTGGAGAAAAAAAGAGAAGGGAGGAAACACTGCGTGTTCATTTGCATTATTTGAATTTGTATATAAATTGCAATATTTGATTTTGACATAAACAATTTGGCATTGTTGTGACTGAAAACCTCTGGAGATTGCTTCAGTAAAGTTTTTTCAGAAAGTGGTAGTCTACATAGCTAGTTAAGTCAGGATCATCCTGACATTTATTGACAGCTCCTACTTCCTTAACTGGGCTTCCCAGGTTGCTCAGTTGGTAAAGAATCAGCCTGCAATGCAGGAGGCCCAGGTTCTATCCCTGGGTGGGGAAGATCCCTTGGAGAAGGAACAGCTGCCCACTCTGGAGAGAATCAGACACGACTCAGCAACTAAACTACCGCTACCATCACCCCTTCCCTAACTTACTTCACTAAAAGCAAATGTTAAGCTATTACTTTTTATCTGCCATTCTTTCCAGAGATAAAAATTGTACTCAGTGACTCCCCAACCCGTGTTTACAGAAGGGAGAGAGAGATTTTCTTTTGTTTTTATACTCATAGCAGTCCTTATGAAACTTTTGACGGGGTAACTTTTAAAGAGCTAGAGTTTACCTTGAAACAACATACAGCATACCAAAGCATGAGCTTGAGTGTTTTCAATCATCCTTGAGATACTTTACACTACAATGTAGGAATCAAAGAATTTGAAATGCCGATGAGTTTTATAGATTTCTAGGAGATCATAAGAATGTGTGAATACTAAAGTCCTGATTTTGGCTTCCAGATTAGGGTTATATAGAAGGATGTCCTTGTTTATAGGAAATGTGCATTAAACCATTCAGGGATGATACGGATGAGGTCAATAACTTACTCTCAAGTAATTCAAGAAAAAGTGAAGTTCTTTATATATACCTGCAACTTTTAAATTTTGAGGTCATTTCAAAAAATTATTTTAAAATAGTGAAGATTGGGTTGTATTCTGTAACTATAAAAGACTAAAGCTGAATGGTTATGTGAGTCCTAAATTGAGTTACCAATTGGGTATTTTTTATTTGAGAAGTAATGGAGTGTTTTATTAAATATTATTAAAATTTTATGTTTGGTTTTAGAAAACATTGTATCTAGTGATTTCGGCATATTTTGATTTAATAGATTGGTAATTCCTCTATTCTGGTTGAGAGAAAATTTTACCCATGAAGTTTAGGGTAGTTTTATTATTTAGAAGATTATTTTTAACATTTCTATCAGTATGATAAGTATAATATGTTTAAATTGGTCTTTAGTGATGAATCCAGATGACACATTTGAAATATTAATTGATCAGATAGTTGTAAACAAAGGAAGCCTACTAGAGGATGTGGTTCCTCCTATCAATCCTCCCAAAGAAATTGAAGATCCCAGTGATAAAAAACCTGATGATTGGGATGAAAGAGCAAAAATCCCTGATGCTTCTGCTGTCAAACCAGAAGACTGGTAAGCAAAGAATTCAGTAGCAAAGCACTGTTTGGCACAAAGTAATAAAATGTAACATACAAGTGAAGTTTACAACCAATGAAACATATTCTTTTAAACATCAGAAACACTTATTTTGACTTTTAGGAGAAATACTTCTCTGAAATGGATTTTGCACTTCCTACCTTTTAATTATCTTAATTTTCATTTTAATTAATTTTGTTCCTTTTTCATATATGTGTGTATATATATATATAATGTATACTTCCAGTATGTATATTTTATTTTGTATTCTTTCAGTGCTGTGGGGAAAAATACCATGAGTCCAAAGCACCAGCGCTTTAATTTCTGTTTCCAGTTTGATCTTTCTTATGTATGTGTGTGCATATTTTACATAGTTGTGGTCGTTGCAGTTAATGATTAGTTGGCTTTAAATAACCATATCCTCAGCATCTTATAAAACTATATGGGATGCACTCGTCTTCCCAGGAGGCGCTAGTTACATTATGTTACATTAAATAATCGGCTTGTGAAGGCAAAAGACGCAAGAGACAGAAATTCTACCCTGGATAGGGAGGATCCGCTGGAGAAGGAAATAGACCCACTCGAGTCCTCTTGCCTGGGAAAGCCCCTGGACAGAGGCGCCTGGCGGCCAGGTCCGTGCAGCTGCAGAAGAGTCAGGCACGCGGAGCACATGTGCAGCGGCAGCATGCAAACATTGCCTTTCTCTCTGGGGCTGGTCATAATTTTTGTAGCAGAGAGCAGAAGTTTTAAATTTTTATGAAGTCTGGTTTGTCAATATTTGTCCTTGATTATTTATGGTTTTTGCATCTTCCTAAGATACTATGCCTAAATGTGACAAAGATTTTTTGTTTTCTAAACAAATAATTTTGACTAAAACTCTGTTCGAAGTTTGTTATTACATGTAGTGTGAGATATAAATCAAGATTAATTTTCAAAAAATATGGATGTCTAATTGTTCTACTCTTAAGCATCCATTTAATGTCCATACTGATGTCCCCTCTTTCTTTTCTGCTATGGTGATTAGAGTTTTTTCTTGATGCGTTTAGCTACAGGTTGATCAATTTTATTGAGCTGTTTGGAGGACAGGCTTTTGTTTTAGTTTTTCCCTTTTGTTGGCCTTTTTTCTATTCTTCTTACTTTGGACTTAATTTGCTTCCCTTTTCTTCTTTTTTAAGGTAGAAAGTAATTTCTGATAGAAGCACCTATAAATTTTCTCTCAGCACTGCTTTAACTACATTCCACAAATATCTACTGTTTCTGAGAACATTCATTCATACTGTTTTATAATTGCCCTAGTGATTTCTTCTTTGATTTACATATTTTTAAAGTGTTACTTTGTTGCCAATTATTATGGATTTTCAAGATAAGATTTTCACTTTAACTCCCAATATAATCCTATTGTTGTCAGAAAACATTCACAAATGTTACTTACCTCAGGTTGGTTGATAGTGTTGTTCTAAAGCCTTTATTTTCCTAATGGTTTTCAGCCTGTTCTCTTATTGGGAAGAGAAAATAAGTCTTCATCTATGATTGTAGATTTGTCTTTATCTCCTTTGAGTTTTATTTGTTTTGCTTTGTGTAATTTGAAAGTCTAGATCACTAGATCAGTTCACAGCGTTTCATGACCTCTTGAGGAACTGACCTTTTTATTATTATGAAATGTTCTTCTTTATAAACTCATAATACTCTCTGTCATGGAATCTGCTTGGTCTGACATGAGATCAACACTCCCATTTCTTTTAATCATGGTTCCACTGAATATTATTTTCCATTATTTACCTGTAACCTGTTGTTGTTATTCAGTTGCTAAGTTCTATCTGACTCTTTGTGACCCCATGGACTGTGGCACACCAGGCTTCCAGGTCCTTCACTATCCCCCGGAGTCTGCTCAAACTCATGTCCATTGAGTTGGTGATGCCATCCAGCCATCTCATTCTCTGACACCCCCTTCTCCTCCTGCCTTTCCATCTTTCCGAACATCAGGGTCTTTTCCAATGAGCCAGCTTTTCGCATCAGGTGGCCAAAATATTGGAGCTTCAGCATCAGTCCTTCCAATGATATTCAGGGTTGATTTCCTTTAGAATGGACTGGTTTGATCTCCTTTCTATTCAAGGGACTGTGAACTGTCTTCTCCAACACCACAGATTGTTCGGCACTCAGCTTTCTTTATGGTCCAGCTCTCACATCCATACCTGACTACTGGAAAAACCACAGCTTTGACTGTATGGACCTTTGTTGGCAAAGTCATGTCTCTGCTTTTTAATATGCTGTCTAGGTTGGTCATGGCTTTTCTTCCAAGGAGGAAGCATCTTTTAATTTCATGGCTGCAGTCACTGTCCACAGTGATTTTAGAACCCAGGAAAAGAAAACTTGCCACTGTTTCCACTTTTTCCCCACCTATTTGCCATGAAGGGATGGGACTGGATGCCTTGATCTTAGTTTTTTGAATGTTGAGTTTGAAGCCAGTTTTTTCAGTCTCCTCTTTCACTTTATTCAAGAGGCTCTTTAGTTCCTCTTCGCTTTCTGCCATTAGGGTGGTATCATCTGCATATCTTAGGTTGCTGATATTTCTCCTGCAATCTTGATTCCAGCTTGTGATTCTTCCAGTACAGCATTTCACATGATATATTCTGCATATCAGTTAAATAAGCAGGGTGACAATATACAGCCTTTGATGTACTCTTTTCCGAATTTTGAACCAGTCCATTGTTCCATGTCCAGTTCTACTCCTTGACCAGTAGAACTTGACCAGTTCTACTCCTTTCTCAGGAGGCAGGTAAGGTGGTCTGGTATTCCCATCTCTTTCAGAATTTTCCACAGTTTGTTGTGATCCACACAGTCAAAGGCTTTAGCATAGTCACTAAAGTGGAAGTAGGTTTTCTGGAGCTCCCTTTCTTTTTCTATGATCCAGTGGATGTTGGCAGTTTGATTTCTGGTTCCTTTGCTTTTTCTAAATCCAGTTTGTACATCTGGAAGTTTTTGATTCATGTACAGCCTACCTTGAAGGACTTTGAGCATTACCTGTATATGCCTTTATTTTTCAGGTGATTTTCTTGTAGTCAACTATATTTGGGTCTTGCCTTTTAATTGGAATGTTTTAAATTATCTACATTTAATGCACTTATTGATACAGTTAGATATAAACCTGCTGTCTCGCTGTTTGTTTTCTCTTTGTCCCATATAGTCTCTGGCTTTTTATAAAATTGTTTCCTGACTGTCTTTGGATTGAGTTACTTTTTTGAGTCTTCCGTTTTTCTTTCTGTTGGCCTTTTGGCTTTCCTCTGTAGGCTGTGTTTTACTGAATGCTCTAGGTTTCGCAGTGTGCGTCTTAAACCTATTTCAGTCTCCTCTCAAATACTGTTATACTGCTGATGGGTAACACTTGGCCATTATTTCTCTAAATATTTGTATATGCCTCCCCAACTCTTTTAGGGAGATGCCACTTAAAAATGTGTTAGACTGCTTTACATTTGTTAAACAAGTCACTGAGGATCTCTTCATTTTTTTTTAAACCAGTTTTTCCTATGTACCTCATTTTGGAAAGTCTATTCCTGTTCAAGTTCTTGTTTTTTTGTAAACATTGAGGTTACCACCTATTGAAAGCACGGAATGTTGCTCCTGGAAAACCAAGTGTTACTTTGTTAACTCTCTTGTAAATAAAGAGGGATACTGATTAGCAATGAAAATGTCTTTGCCTTCAGGAAAATAGTATAAGAGGGAGGTAACTTGGATAGGAAGATAGGAAGTACAGTACCTTTAAAAAAAATTAGTAAGTCACTTACCAGTGTATCACTTCCATAACTCATGCTGTCAGAAAAGACAGGACTGTGTTTGTCTGTGTGCACTTTCTAATTGCTTCATATTTGCCCATAAAGAGTAAGGGTGGGACATACGTTTGCCCTTAAAGAGAAAAACTATTTACCAATCTCATTCTGATGGGTGAAATCTGTGAGAATTTGTTTTATAAAGTACTAAAAGAACCTTAAATTTTAAACTCAGGTTACTCTGAGCCCTAAGAGACCTTCAGATAGTAATGATATCAGGAAAGTACAAGTCTTTACATGTATACAGTGGATTATTTCAGTTTTGTTACTCAGTCTTCACATATATAGAGTAAATTATTTCAGTTTTGTTATTCAAGTTTTGTTTGGAAAAGCATAATGTAAATTCTAGATAAAATTCCTGCTTTTCTGAAAAGATGAAAATTATATTAGTAATTCTATTCTGTACTTACTGTGACTATGTTTATATACTTTGGAGCTTACTTTCTAAATGATTTTTTTAATGAAAATATAAAAATTACCAGGAATATGGAGAGTTTTAAAAAAATAATATTGGAGTAGGGAAGACCTTTCCAAATACAGCATAAAATTGAAGAATCATAAAGGAAAATCTTAATAAATTTCAGCTACATGAAAATAAATTATTTTTTCATGACAAAAAACCCCACCATAAACTACCTAAAAATACATGAGAAACTGGAAAAAATTTAATTCACATAATAATTATAATTAATAAAATTAATAATTTCTTGTTAATTTCTAATATATTCCAGGATATTAATTGTAGCATTATTTGTTATAGTAAGCTTTGGGAAACACTAAATATCCTCAACAATAAATGAATTATTATTTATTCACAAAGTAGAAAACTATGAAACTGTGAGGAATAAAGCAGATATATATTTATATAAAATAGAGCTCCTAGAACAGTCTTGACATGTAGTAGTCTTTCTGTATATGTTTGTTGATGAATGGTTTCTTTTTAATTTTAACAATATATTTTATTTAACTCAATAGAGCCAAAATGTTATTACTTCAACAAATAATATAAGAAGATGAATGAGTTTTTATGTGAACAAAAACAAGGTCTAACATACTCGGTAGTTCAGTTCAGTCACTCAGTCGTGTCTAACCCCTTGTGACCCCATGAATCGCAGCACGCCAGGCCTCCCTGTCCATCACCAACCCCCGGAGTCCACCCAACTCATGTCCATTGAGTCGGTGATGCCATCCAGCCATCTCATTCTCTGTCGTCCCCTTCTCCTCCTGCCCCCAATCCCTCCCAGCATCAGGGTCTTTTTAAATGAGTCAGCTCTTCGCATGAGGTGGCCAAAGTATTGGAGTTTCAGCTTCAACATCAGTCCTTCCAATGAACACCCAGGACTGATCTCCTTTAGGATGGACTGGTTAGATCTCCTTGCAGTCCAAGGGACTCTCAAGAGTCTTCTCCAACACCACAGTTTGAAAGCATCAATTCTTCGGTGCTCAGATTTCTTCACCGTCCAACTCTCACATCCATACATGACTACCTTACATGACTCTTCTCTCTCCTGGCTATTCTTTGGAACTCTGCATTCAAATGGGTGTATCTTTCCTTTTCTCCTTTGCTTTCCACTTCTCTTCTATTCACGGGTATTTGTAAGGCCTCCTCAGACAGCCATCTGCTTTTTTGCATTTCTTTTTCTTGGGTCTTGATCCCTGCCTCCTGTACAATGTCAGGAACCTCCGTCCATAGTTCATCAGGCACATCATCAGATCTAGTCCCTTAAATCTATTTGTCACTTCCACTGTATAATCATAAGGGATTTGATTTAGGTCATACCTGGATGATCCAGTGATTTTCCCTACTTTCTTCAATTTAAGACTGAATTTGGCAATAAGGAGTTCATGATCTGAGCCACAGTCAGCTCCCGGTCTTGTTTTTGCTGACTGTAGAGAGCTTCTCCATCATTGGCTGCAAAGAATATAGTCAATCTGATCTCGGTGTTGACCATCTGGTGATGTCCATGTGTAGAGTCTTCTCTTGTGTTGTTGGAAGAGGGTATTTGCTATGACCAGTGTGTTCTCTTGGCAAAACTCTGTTAGCCTTTGCCCTGCTTCGTTCCGTCCTCCAAGGCCCCAGGTGTTTCTTGACTTCCTACTTTTGCATTCCAGTCCCCTATAATGAAAAGGACATCTTTTTTGGGTGTTAGCTCTAAAAGGTCTTGTAGGTCTTCATAGAACCATTCAACTTCAGCTTCTTTGGCATTACTGGTTGGGGCATAGACTTGGATTACTGTGATATTGAATGGTTTTCCTTGGAAATGAACAGAGATCATTCTGTCGTTTTTGAGATTGCATCCAAGTACAGTATTTCGGACTCTCTTGTTGACTATGATGGCTACTCCATTTCTTCTAAAGGATTCTTGCTCACAGTAGTAGATATAATGGTCATTGAGTTATATTCACCCATTCCAGTCCATTTTAGTTTGCTGATTCCTAAAATGTCAACGTTCATGCTTGCCACCACAGTTAAAAAGCATCAGTTCTTTGGCGTTCAGCTTTCTTTATACTACAACTCTCACATCCGTACATGACTACTGGAAAAACCACAGCCTTGACTAGATGGACTTTTGTTGGCAAAGTAATGTCTCTGTTTTTAATATACTGTCTAGGTTGGTCATAACTTTGCTTCCAAGGAGTAAGCATCTTTTAATTTCATGGCTGCAGTCACCATCTTCAGTGATTTTGAAGCCCCCCAAAATTAAGTCAGCCATTGTTTCCACTGTTTCCTCATCTATTTGCCATGAAGTGATGGGACCAGATGCCATGATCTTAGTTTTCTGAATGTTGAGCTTTAAGCCAACTTTTTCACTCTCCTCTTTCACTTTCATCAAGAGGCTCTTTAGTTCTTCACTTTCTGCCATAACGGTGGTATCATCTGCGTATCTGAAGTTATTGATATTTCTGCTGGCAATCTTGATTCCAGCTTGTGCTTCACCCAGCCCAGCGTTTCTCATGATGTACTCTGCATATAAGTTAAATAAGCAGGCTGACAATATGCAGCCTTGATGTACTCCTTTCCCAATTTGGAACCAGTCTGTTGTTCCATGTCCAGTTCCAACTGTTGCTTCCTGACCTGCATATAGATTTCTCAAGAGGCAGGTCACATGGTCTGGTATTCCCATCTCCTTCAGAATTTTCCACAGTTTATTGTGATCCACACAGTCAAAGGCTTTGGCATAGTCAGTAAAGCAGAAATAGATGTTTTTCTGGAACTCTTGCTTTTTTGATGATCCAGCAGATGTTGGCCATTTGATCTCTGGTTCCTCTGCCTTTTCTAAAGCCAGCTTGAACATCTGGAAGTTCACAGTTCACATATTGTTGAAGCCTGGCTTGGAGAATTTTGAGCATTACTTTGCTAGCATGTGAGATGAGTGCAATTGTGTGGTAGTTTGAGCATTTTTTGGCATTGCCTTTTTTGGGGATTGGAATGAAAACTGACCTTATCCAGTCCTGTGGTCACTGCTGCGTTTTCCAAATTTGCTGGCATATTGAGTGCAGCACTTTCACAGCATCATCTTTTAGGATTTGAAATAGCTCAACTGGAATTCCGTCACCTCCACTAGCTTTGCTCATCGTGATGCTTCCTAAGGCCCACTTGACTTAACATTTCAGGATGTCTGGCACTATGTGAGTGATCACACCATCATGATTATCTGGGTTGTGAAGATCTTTTTTGTATGGTTCTTCTGTGTATTTTTCCACCTCTTCTTAATATCTTCTGCTTCTGCTCGGTCCATACCATTTCTGCCCTTTATTGTGCCCATCTGTGTATGAAATGTTCCCTTGGTATCTTAATTTTCTTGAAGAGATCTCTAGACTTTATCATACTATTGTTTTTCTCTATTTCTTTTCACTGATCACTGAGGAAGGCTTTCTTATCTCTCCTTGCTCTTCTTTGGAACTCTGCATTCAAATGGGTATATCATTCCTTTTCTCCTTTGCTTTTCACTTCTCTTCTTTTCACAGAGGTAGGAAGTGCCTATTGGTACCTTCTGAATTCTGTAATGTACATTTTTAACTGTCTGAATAATTAGTAATTAGCATAAAATACTGTATTTTACAGGGATGAAAGTGAACCTGCCCAAATAGAAGATTCAAGTGCTGTTAAACCTGATGGCTGGCTTGATAATGAACCAAAATTTATTCCCGATCCTAATGCTGAAAAACCCCTTGATTGGTAAGCATTCTTCACCTTCAGATGTCAGTTTCCTGTTTCTTTCATGCTCTTTTGTTACCAGTTGATATGACTGACAGGAGAGTCTTGAGGTTACTCCATGTGCTTTGTTCTGATACCCTAAGGAATGAAGACATGGATGGAGAATGGGAGGCACCTCATATTTCTAACCCAGCATGTCGGATTGGGTGTGGTGAGTGGAGCCCTCCCATGATAAATAACCCGAAATACAAAGGAATATGGAGACCGCCAATGATAGATAACCCTAACTACCAGGTAATCACCACTTTTTCCCGTCCCATAGTAAACTTTCTAAAACGCTGTGCCCTTTTATACATCTAGTTATTAATGTTATGTTAACTTGAGGAAATTTGATTTGTAATAATGTGCCTTAGCTATCTGAAGTCAAAGAAAATAGATTCCAACCAATTTATGTTTAAAAAGTAAAGTGGGGCTTGCTTCCCTGGTGGCTCAGTGGTAAAGAATCTGCCTGCCTGCAGGAGACACAGTCCTGACCCCTGGTTAGGGAAGATCTCACAGGCCAGGGAGCAGCCAAGCCTGCGTGCCCCAGCTGTTGAGCCTGTGCTCCAGAGCCCGGGAACCACGATTGCTAAAGCCGGTGTGCCCGAGAGCCGTGCTCTGCAACAGGAGAAGCCACTGCAGTGCTCTCCCCAGCCTGCACGCCACAACCGGAGAGCTGCGCCACTCGCCCCGCCTAGGGAAGGGTCAGTGCGGCCGCAGAGACGTGACACAGCCAATAAACAAACAAACATTTTTAAAGTACAGCGTCCTTTAATTTTCTGGGGTAATAAAACTTAATAACTAAAGAGAAATCACTTCATGCTATTTTCCTTAGTAATCAATTGGTGATCACTTTGGAATATTTTATTTTAGCATTAAATATAAGAATTGAGTTCTGATCAAGAGGACTCACACTGTACATTTTAGTAATTGAAGTCTGTGCTTGCTATGGTTTTATTAAAATTCAATTTTTTTCTAATATGAAACAGATATTTTTTGCACATACTTAGCTTTTGGGGTAGAAATCCTTATGTTGTTCATTCAAGCTGTAGTTTTATCTAATTATTCATTGACATTTTCTAACATTTATTTTATATACACAGTTATAGACTCTTTTTGCTCACTGTAGTTTTTCTTCATAGAATGACTGTTTTGATAACTTTTTTGTTTGAGATATATCTTTCCTTCATCAGACTTTAAACACCATGATGCAGGGACCATGTCTGCCTTGATTATCACAGCATATGGCATAGTGCTTGGCACAGAATAGACGTAGGTGATGGCAGGATGAGTCACTGAGTGATCATATCGTCCAGTTTATTTGATTTGGTTGACTTTAATCATTTAAGTCTTAATGGAACTTCTGTGTTGAATAATTGTTCTGAGATTAAACCATGAGTGACTTATGATGCCCATCATAAGTATATGTTAAAAGACATGGTTCCATTTTTGCCATACAGTAATCTCTTTGATTTGAGCAATTTTAATGATATCATGCCTTGAGTATCTTTACTAAATTTAAAAAAAAAGAAAGAAACTCATCTAATATAGTATCAATTGTGAAATTTAATTACTCAAGTTTCTGTGGGACTTTCACTCTGCCTCTTTTTTTTTTTTTTTGCCGAGTTTAAAGTCAGTATTATTCATAGGGAACATAGTGTACAGGATAAGAGGAAATAAGATTTTATTTCCAGTGAATTACTAATGAATTAATTATCAGTTAAAGTTTTCTTTTTTTCCAGTTAGTATTGCTAATTTCATTCAACAGCAATTGCTTCTTGAGTAACACTTATAATGAAATTGTTGTTTGAAAATGTGTTTAAATTATTTTTTTTCCAGGGCATCTGGAGTCCTCGAAAAATTCCTAATCCAGATTATTTTGAAGACAATCACCCATTTCTTCTGACTTCTTTCCGTGCTCTTGGTTTAGAGCTTTGGTCCATGACCTCTGATATCTACTTTGATAATTTTATTATATGTTCAGAAAAGGAAGTAGCAGACCGCTGGGCTGCAGATGGTTGGGCAGTGAAGATACTGATAGAAAATGCTAATGAGGTACACAGTATTTAGCATATGATAATAATAGGATATGGTCCTGGTAATAGGTTATACAGATGGCCTTTTGAAGAGTAAATAGGTGCAATAATTACTAAATGCTGAAGAAACATAGTTAAATCTATGTAGACAGAATATGAGCTTCACCAAATTATGCTACAATTTCATTATAAACTGTATAGTGAATTATATATATGTAAATCTTCATTTATTAGATTATGATAGCATAAATGGATTCAATGCCTTTTGATTATAGAAATGAGACTTATTACTACTATTAGAAATGAGACGTAATATCTTGTCACCTTATCAGTTTGAGGCCTAAGTGGGAACAGAAATCTAAACCTTTATTAATTTTAACTACTTTTCACTTAAAGGAGTACAGAAACTTTTAAAATTTAATTATTATGTTCTAGTTTTTTCCCCAAAATTTTAACACCACTTAGGAAAGCTTAAGCTAAATATTTCAACACAGTGCATCTTGGAGAATCTTATCTATCTTTAAACCAATTACCCTAAAGAAAAATGTACCTTATATTAGGTTTCTTTGAATATTAGCAAAAACCTCAAAAGAGTAAATAAAGGTAAAAGGATTCTCATTTTGAAACTCTTTTAACTAAAACATTTGAGCAATTTGCTTCCTGAAGTTTGTGTGTGAAATTTGTTAAGAAATAAGAAAAAACATAGCTATTCTTAGGCTCACTTTTCTCCTTTTTTTGTAAGTTCTTTAAAAGTACAGAATGAGTTAGAGAGTTTACTTCTAAATGAACCAAATAATATATCCATGATAAGTAGTACTATCCTGAAACTTACCAGAAAAGAAAACTGTCCTAATTCTTGCTGGAGAATTAGCAGTATTCACCTGTATAGTATAATGTAGCTTCTACTACCCGGTGTCAAACTGCAGTGCATGTGAATAATTACAGCTTGTTTAAGGGACTTCCCTGTGGCCCGTGGCTAGGACCCGGTGCTTTCAGTGCAGGGGGCCTGGGTTTGACCCCTCGTTGGGGAAGTAGATCCCACATGCCACAACTAAGAACTGGCATGCCAGATAAACATTTTTTTTTTTTAAAGATTGTTTAAACTTTACAAAGTATAAAATGGAAAATATTTTTTGTCTTATAAGTTTGACTCCTTAGTAGAATACTACCTAGGTGAAATAAGTTTTTTTGTTTTCGTAGGCTGTATTTATGAATGAAAGTTTATAAAATCTGAATTGCCTTTTTATGCTTATTTCTTCTTTAGCCTAGTATATTCAAACAATTGATGTCAGCTACTGAACAGCGCCCGTGGCTTTGGTTCATTTACCTTGTGACAGCAGGGCTTCCAATAGCATTAATTACTTCATTTTGTTGGCCAAGAAAAGTAAAGGTAAAGAAAATGAATTTCCTTCAACATTAAAAAAAAAATCTCTTAGTGTTTAGGAGTTCTATAAATGGAGTCAGAGGTTCCTAAAAGTACTAAACTAAATTTCCTTTAAGTTTTTACTGAGAGTTCACTGTGTATGATATCAGTTCAGTTCAGTTCCCCAGTCGTGTCTGACTCTTTGCCACCCCATGGACTGCAGCATGCCAGGTTTCCCCGTCCATCACCATCTCCTGGAGCTTGTTCAAACTCATGTCCATCAGTCCGTGATATCATCCAACCACCTCATCCTCTGTTGTCCCCTTCTCCTCCTGCCTTCAGTCTTTCCCAGGATCAGGGTCTTTTCAAATGAGTCAGTTCTTTGCATCAGGTGGCCAAAGTATTGGAGTTTCAGCTTCAGTATCAGTCCTTAACAATGAATATTCAGGACTGATTTCCTTTAGGATGGATTGGTTTGATCTCCTTGCAGTCCAAGGGACTCTCAAGAGTCTTCTCCAACACCACAGTTCAAAAGCATTAGTTCTTTCGGTGCGTGTGTGATATCCATCATTGCAAAAAAAAAAAAAAAAAGATGTTCTTTTAAAATAGTGCTTTGCTTTTAGTAAAAATAGCTTATGTTAAACTACCACAGAAAAAATATGATGAAGATGTGGATTTCAAAAAACTGGACATATGTAAGCCACAAACCAAGGGCGCACTGGAGCAGGAAGTGAGGGAAGAGAAAGCCGCCCTGGAGAAGCCAGCTGACTTGGAAGAGGAAAGAAAGCAAAGTGATGGTGAAATTGTTGAAAAAGGTAGGACGGTGATGGCGATATATAAAGGGGGCCCTGGGAAGAGCTCATTAAAAACAGTAGATTAAGTGGTACACACTAGCTGTTGCACTTGTCTGTTGTCAGATTTATACCATCTGAATCTGCAAGAGTGTGTGACTGTGGTGAAGAGGAGTACCATCCTTGCCTGGGTTGTACCTGAGCAGACATCCAGTGTATGAGTTCTCTCTTCTAGGAAGAAAGGGTTGTCAGAATTGTTCAGTTGCTTCAGAACCTAGCAGCTATCAATCCCATATGTCAGAGGTTTTTGCAAGGGTTTTTCTTTCCTCCAAGGATGAGATGGGAGGCACAGATCACAGCTTCTGTGGAGGAGTAATTGGTTTAAGACAGGTGATGCAGCAACAGAATCCACACCGAGGGCTGTTGTTTATCAAATAGTTATCATATCAAACCAGTAGTTTAACCTCTTCAAAGGATTGCTGAATCATATGTCCCTTCCTACCCTCAACTAAACTCCAGAAGACGTTAGAAGTGAAGACAACTGCAGCTTTCTGGCACCTCTCCAGTGAGGCTTCCTTGTACACATCTAGGTAGCAGTAAAACTATTGATGTTTGCCAGATGTCCCAGGCCAGGCTCCAGAATGAGCCCTTTATAACCTGCACTATGTTTTGAGCACTATTTTTAACTTAATAGTTGATGAAACAGTTGACTCAAAAACCATGCTGTCTCAAAGCACACATGTATATTTACATATTTATGTGTATACATACACATATATTCTTTGATTTTCATTTCACATACAGACTGAATGTTTTAAAATTCTTTAAAAAAAAAATTCTTTAAACCTGCTCCTTTCCCCAGATATGATGATTTATTTATTGTTGTTGTTTAGTTGCTCAGTCATGTCCGACTCTTGGTGACCCCATGGACTGCAGCATGCCAGGCTTCCCTGTTCTTCACTATCTCCCACAGCTTACTCAAACTCATGTCCATTGAGTCGATGATGCCATCCAGCCATCTCATCCTCTGTCGTCCCCTTCTCCTCACACCCTCAACCTTTCCCAGCATCAGGGTCTTTTCCAGTGAGTTGTGGTAAAATAACGAGTACTTGTATTTAATTTTAAAAAATGTCTAATGAAAGAAATTGCTTTCAAATGTTGGAATTTAAATGCACTCCTCCACTTTTACTTAATACTTTTAAGTAGAAAAATTCTAATTCATTGAGTCTTTTTCCTTGAATAAAATCTGTTTAATAAAAAATTCTAGAAGAGGAAGGTGAACCTGAGGAAAAGAGTGAAGAAGAAATTGAAATTATAGAAGGACAAGAAGAAGGTAATAAATCCAATAAGTCTGGATCAGAGGATGAGGTAAGCATCTCTTTAACAGAAAATAAACTAGTTTCTACGTATGATTGTTAGTCTCTAAAAATATTTTAATAAAAGTAGTGATCTTGTTTGTGAAGAATTTTTTTGCCATATTTTCTCCCAGCTTTCTTAAAGAGCATACATATTGGTACAAAATGTATCCATAAGGAAAGCATGAAAAAACTAATTCATATCCTCCTAATGCCTAATGAAATAGTATAAAATAAGCCTTTGGTTTGTAAAATAGAGAACTACGTCTGTTTAAATAAAAGAATTTTTATTGAAGTGTTTTGTTGAAAGTTGTAACAAGCAGGCCAATTGAATATTTAAGAGGTAATTATGTTTATTATAAGGCAGTCTTCTTTATAGCCATTGTGAAAACATTCTGTCATGTTTATATTTACTGTAAAATTTTCAAGGATTTCATTCATTGGCTAGTGGAGTACTGTGTCTAGTTGTGGTGTTTTTCTCAAATCTTTAAGCTTGGTTTTTTCATTAACTTGATATGTCTGCCCTTTTTTCCCCCATCCTGATGTATAATAAAATTTTTCACAGTGCCCTTTTTTATAGTCAGTTATGAAATCAGAATCATCCAGGGTATAATTCAGAATCAGAGGTTTCTTTTTTCTTTTTCTTTTTTTAACCTACTCTATACCCCCAAAAGCCTGTTTTCTCTACTTCTGGCCTCTTGAGAGCTGCACAACCCTACCCGACAGAGTCACTATCCCCATCGGTCTCGTAGCTTAGCATCAGGCAGGGTAAATGTCCATGATGCCTGGACTGTTGGGTATGAGTAAGCATTCTGTTTTGTCTGTTTGAAGAAATCACCCAAATAAACACCTGTGTTTATTGTTTTAAGTGTTTTCTAAAGCTTATTCTGTACATATGCCTGGTTACTAGTCTTAACTGTCTTGTGAGTTTTTAAATATATTTGGGGGATCATTACAAATACCTTATTGAGAGGGATCTGGGTGAAGAAAGTTTCTTCCAGAACATAGTTTTAAATAGTCCTTGTTTCCCTCTGTTATACGTTTAATAATAATACTTGTAATTATACATGGAACACTTATTCTAGTTATATTTTGCTTTGTAAAAAAATATTTTGTGTACCTTTAAAAGTATATTAATTCCATGTTCCAGTCTTTTAATCTTTTATGCATTTGTCAGTGAGCTAAAATAAATCAAATTTTTATATAGCATAACCTTGAGAAATAATTTTAACTATTTTGTATAATACCTCCATTATTTACTTGTTATACAGGTTTAATTTACGTACAAATGATTATTCTGGAAGGATACGAGTTAAAGAATAGATAAAACCCAAACCATAAGTTTGATGTTTCCCTTTCCTCTCTCCTAATTTTTCTCAAGTACTGTGTTCCAGAAGTTCTAGAAGAGTCTCTGTAAAACCAGTGCAGCAGTTCCTTATTACAGAGACATTGTGATGTATAGTTAGTGGTTACTATCCACATGAAAACATTATGCAACCTTTAATTAACCATGACATTAGTTGGAAATCATGAGATAAAATCATGAATTGAGCTGTTAGCATTATCCCTTGTCAGATGCATATCTGACAGGCAGAGTTACTCTAAAAATGTAATCATGGCAAAAGATGAACAAACTGAAACACATCAATTTATATACACGTTTTTGACCGATCGTTAATTAAAGAAGTGTGAAGAATTTGATTAGAAACATGTATTTTGGAGAATAAGAAATATTTTACATACTACTGTCTACTAGTTGCCTAGTGTCTGAAAATAAACATTTTCATGATGTTTTTTCCTAGATGAAAGAGGCAGATGAGAGCACAGGATCTGGAGACGGACCAATAAAGTCAGTACGCAAAAGAAGAGTGCGGAAGGAGTAAGCTGCTCCAAGTGTTTTCCATTCCTGAGAGAGCAAGCTGGCATTCTCAAGCCGGTGTGCCAGAACTGCGCTTGAGTCAATCTGCACATCCCTTTTCTACTATCTAGCAATGTTATTCTTTCAGACATTTCTTTTAATCTTCTTTTTCAGAAATGAAAAATCTTTGAAGTTACCTGGTCTTTGAATTTAGAATAAAAGAAAAGTGGCACGTTACATGTCATATTTTAAGAGATTAATATCATTAGAGGTTACACAGTTTTCATAGTTAGGAGAAAGTTTTGGTTTCTACAGAGCAAAATAATATGCAGTGGCTTCATTGCTATGGGACAAGTCAGTTACTGGAATTTCCCCTTAAATGGCTATACCACAATATACCTGGTAGTTCTATAGTGTAAGTGAGAGAGTGTTCTGTTGTACAGAGCTAATTGCAATAAAGTTTCTGTATGGCTGTTTGGTTCTGCCAACAATTGAAAGTGTTGTATGTGACCCACGTTTACCTAGTTTGTGTCAAATTATAGTTACAGTCCATTGTTCACTTAAATTACAGAATCCTTTAAAAAGGTGCTTTGTTGACAGACCAGTCAACAAAACAAAAACGTATCTATCATTCGTAGAAAAACTGGTTAATAGTGCAGCATATTTACATTTGAATACAGAGATAAGAGGTTTATCAAAATGAAATGGTGTACAGATATTTTTCAAGCTGTTGTTTTATGCCAGAATGGATTACCCTATTCACAAGATTGCTTATGCCTACATTGCTCTTAAAAACGAAATTTAAGTATTTTTTCTTCTTTAGACAATACCCACTTTAATAGGTAAATTATTATTGGGGTCTGATCATTAAGAGATTCTAGTGGCTGATAGATATCGTTCATCATGTTTTGTATTTTTATCTTTTTTCTGACAAATTCAAATCTATTGTCTTGTCTAGCTTCAAAGCTCCCTCTATAGTAGATAGACTATTGCTCCTCTTTTTAAAATAGCATTGACCCTTGAACAACACAGGTTTGAACTGCATGAGTCCACGTGTATGTGGATTTTTTCCCCCAATTAATTCTACAGTACTCCATGGTAGGTAGTTGGTTGAATCCTCCAATGCAGAATCTTCAGATAAAGATGGTCAACTGTGGGACTTGAGCATCTGTGAATTTTGATATCTGCCACGGGTCCTGGAACCAACCTCCCATGGATACCAAGGGATGACTGTAGGTACTAGAAGTTACAGAAGTGCATTATAGTAGAACTGTATTATTCCATTTAACATATCTAAGAATTTTTCATGTTTGGGTGATAAACCCTTTGGAAGGTGATCTAAATCTTTGAGGCCATGAAACTACTTTAATACTGTCTTGAGAACTCTGTACTAGTTGGGTGATATTTTGGATTCCTTAACATACACATCCCATCATTGGGCTAGCCCTCTTCCCACTAATACATTTAAAGCTCATGTATAAGGAAAAAGAGTTTCTAACTTCTCCTCTGACTGAAGGAAGGAAGCCAGATAGCTAGTGTAGCCACTATTCACTTATTTCAGAGAGTGAATTGAAAATAAGTGCTTTACATTCATTGCTGTGTTCTGAACTTTCCATATATTGGTGGTGGACAATCTTAATACATGGCTAACCATACTTTGTATTTATTTAATATGAACTAAACCTAACATATCTTGCAAGGCCTCCTTTTCTTGCTATGTACTTTAAATGAACTAGACACATTGAATGGTTCTAGATGACAATGTTTTTGAAAGTAAACTGCTACTTCATGAGGTAAATTTTTATGGGAAACTTCCTGCTTGACAAGTGTCTTGTATGTGATCTTTTTTCCCCTAAAGATTTATTAAAGCTTTTTTAAAATTTCTTGATTGCAGATTCATTTAAACTTAAACATTTGGTTAAACTCCATGAGCTTGCAGTGGTAAAATCTGAGCAACCAGTTTTGCCAGTTCGCTGCTCTTTTCTGGGGGTGTCCCCTCTGTGAATATACCATTGGCTGACAGGTTTAACCAAAACTTAAAAATGTCTGTGCTACATGCACTCAGTAAACAAAGCATAGAGTTTTCTTTAATAATGAGATCATTTTTTCCTTCTACCACCCTAATCTGACTCTATTGTTTTAAATGATTTAAGTTTTATCCTTTTCTCTAATAAAGGAGAAAAATTAATGTATTATCTTGCTCTTCTCTTTATTTTTGGGGGGCTTTTTACCTTGATCAGACTAAAATAGCTTTCTTTTTCTTGAGATTTTTTTTTTTAAGGTAGCCTTGTTTCCATTGGTCATTCCTCTAGAAAGATAGGCTACTAAAACGAAGAGCTTTTTTGAAGCATCAGTCCACATTTGCAAGAAACAGAAGATAAAATTCTTTACATGTCAATATTAACTACTAGTAATGAATTTAATGAACCTTAGAAATTTAGAATACTAATTTAGAAAACATAGTTTTCAGTGAAAACTATTCAGAATAGTTAAAACATAAATACCTTACTATAAATTTAAATATACTCTAGGCATCTGTGAAGTTTTTTCTTTTGTCAATTGTGGTTATGTTTTTAACTTCAGCAGGATTTAGAGATGAAATATCAGATGGCTAATGTCGTTTAACTCCTTAAGTCTCATGTAAAGAGTTTATTTAAACATAGTAATAGCATTTCTACATAAATTTTAAGAATATCTTCCCAAATTATAGCTCTTATTTCCATAGTATGGTAGCTGTGGAGTTCAGGAAATAAAATTATCTCTAATCTGACAGGTCAGATGAAGTAGGCTGGCTGATGGGAGAAAAAAAAATGTATTTTTGAATGCAATTGGAGTTTGTACAGAGATCGAAATACATGGAAGGAAGAGCAATGGTAATTTTAGAAAAAGATGGGCAACAGGGTAATTTTTTAATGATCTTTTAACACCTAACATGGTATCATATCACACATTTTATGTTTCTTAGATGAATGTAATTTTACATCCTTTGTAAAATTTTGGAGTAATTTAACATTTTAATTGAACATTTGGTAAGCCATCTATAGATAATATAGAAAATTTAAAACAAGGCAAATACATTATACAGTTGATTACAATGTATTACTTTAGCTTCTGTCATTGCTCCTTAATACCCCCTTCCATTATATGGTAAATTAGGTCCTACTGCTGCTGCTAAGTCGCATCAGTTGCGTTGGACTCTCTGCCAACTCCGTAGACGGCAGCCCACCAGGCTTCTTCGCCATCCCTGGAATTCTCCAGGCAAGAGTACTGGAGTGGGTTGCCATTTCCTTCTCCTAAGTCCAATGTAAAGTCATAGTTATTGTAAATTTCATCAAATTTCATTAATCTCTATGATTTAAATGAAATAGTCTGTAGCTTGTCTTGTGGATAGAGTAGCTAAGAGGCAATTAAGTCTTTCTTTCAATTCTTAACCCTTTCATGTTAAGTCACATTCTCTTTTCTTTCATGATTTACAAGCGGTCTTAGCAACCACTAGAGGGTGATAACTCAAGATAGGGAACTACACAATTATCAGGGAAGGTAAAGAAAGGCTACATTCTAAAGAACTAAGATCAATTTTGCTTTGCTTTGGATCATAAAAGTCATCCTAGAATATATAATTCACTTTCCATTTCTCATTTGGAAAAAGACTAGATCAGAGGGAAGAGTAATGAAAGGAATAGAAATGTGACATCATAAACTGGTTGGAGGGCTTCCCTGGTGGCTCAGATGGTAAAGAATCTTACCTCCAGTGCAGGAGACCTGGGTTCCATCCCTGGTCAGAAGATCCCTTGGAGAAGAGCATGGCAACCCACTCCAGTATTCTTGCCTGGAGAATCTCATGGACAGAGGAGCCTGGTGGGCTACAGTCCATGGAGTCGCAGAGTCGGACCCGACTGATTAACAAACTGGTTGAAACTGCAATCTTCGATGATTTTGGTTACTTAACAAACTGTTTTGTTGTTACACATACAATTCCCAAAATCTGAAAATCTAAAGTTTTTTCATGTTTGACATCAAAACTCATTTGGCAGCCAAACCTGACTTCCCTAACAGACTACTTTTAGTGTTCATTTATCTTAGTATTCATACATTTCGCTACAAAAGTGTTAATGTATTTGATTACAAGTACTTCCCCAAGCTGTATTGGTGTATGAGTTACATAATACTTCATCATGTATGATAAATTCCAAATTCTGAAACATCTGGCCCAAGAGTTACAGATAAGGCGTTATGAGCTGTACTGACTTGCTGTAAGGAAAGTTCATAGTGAATATAAAGACAAATTTTGGATGGAACCTAGTGTTAGTATTGAGGGAATTTCTGCTGGAGACCCTGAGGAAGAGGGGTCCCTGCAAGTTGTCATTCCACTAGCATTTAGAACTGGGAATTAAAAATGCATTCTGACACTGGTTGAAACAGTACAGAAGACTTTATTCAGGGCTGTTGCAGCAGGGGCCAAGGCTGTGGTGACAGGGGCAAGAGAATGGGCTCAACTCCAACTACAGTGAAGACGGCTGAGGATGTATAGTCATCAAGCAGAGTGGAAGTGGGTCACCAGTGGGTGGAAAATCACCAAGAGAAGACACCAAGGTAGGGGGATGCTTGCCATGCTGATTCAACAGGATTCTTGCTGAAGGTCGGCAGGGTGATAAGATTTTGAGAGTAGGGGAATTCTCCCTAAACTGATGCAGCAGGATTTTTACTAACAATGGACTAGTCATAGTCAGGCTGAAGACGGGACCTGAGATAGGAGGCCTAGTGAGAAAGAGGGCTCAGAAGAACCTGGCTAAACTTTGGTTAAGGAGAGTCTTGATCACAAGCTAGGCACAGTCTCTGTGCAGTTTACCACCTGTATTTCTAATATAGAAATTGACATCCGGAAGATACTGCCATGATTAAGAGTGTGTGTATGTGTGTGTATGCTCAGTCATGTCCAGCTCTTTGCAACCCACTAGGCTCCCTGTGCATTGGTTAACCATCTGTATGGCAAGCAGGTGGGGCATGTATTTCAAGTAACACTTTGTCACCTTTTGGGTTAACAGCTGTAGGATGGCAGTTGGAAAAGGCCGAATATGAAATGAATTGGGTGTGCCCGAATGCTTATAGCAAGAAGGTATCACAAGAAGGAATTTAGTTTCCAAGCAGAGATGGAACAGAGAAAAATCACGTATTAGGTACCTTACAACATTAGAAAAGCTAATTACTTCTGTACCCTGAATGGCAGAAGTTCAGCATTGTTTTATTCTTGAGGTGTGGGAGGTAGAAGGGGAAGCCCAGTGAAGACTTCTCTGCCAAGTGTTAGGCAGACAAAGGAACCCGGCCCTGCAGTGATACCTGGATGCTGCATTCTCAGTCCTGTTTTCAGATGGTTTCAAAGTAGCCTCCGTTAAAGGAGGCAGGGTCCATTCAGAGAGGCAGGGTCCTGTGAGGAAGGAAAGTAAGAAACTTTGGAGAATTTGGTCTAGAAAAGAGTGTGATTGTGATTTCCAGCATATGGAACTGAAACATATAGACAAGAAGTCTATTTCTGAGGGAACTGTACAGCCCGAGAAATGTGAGCCTGGCCTGCAAATGATGGGCACCAAACTCACACCCGCAAGAAGTGGGCTGTTTCATAACGTAAACCTGTGCAGGGAACACCCCTAAACTCTCTTTCAGAGTCCCGGGAAGGGGGCCGGGATGGATAAGTAACTTTCCAGCAAGGGGGAGCCATGGTTCAGTTCAGTCACTGTCGTGTCTGACTCTTTGCGACCCCATGAACTGCAGCACGCCAGGCCTCCCTGTCCATCACCAACACCCATCACCAAGTCCACCCAAACCCATGTCCACTGAGTCGGTGATGCCATCTAACCATCTCATCCTCTTGTCGTCCCCTTCTCCTCCTGCCTTCAATCTTTCCCAGCATCAGGGTCTTTTCAAATGAGTCAGCTCTTTGCATCAGGTGGCCAAAGTATTGGGAGTTTCAGCTTCAACATCAGTCCTTCCAATAACACTCAGGACTGATTTCCTTTAGGATGGACTGGTTGGATCTCCTTGCAGTCCAAGGGACTCTCAAGAGTCTTCTCCAACACCACAGTTCAAAAGCATCAATTCTTCAGCGCTCAGCTTTCTTTTTTTTTTTTTTTTAATTTATTTATTTATTTATTTTTATCACAACCATAGTGTATTTTTTTTTTTTTTTACATGAATTCCCCATCCCGGTCCCCCTCAGCTTTCTTTATAGTCCAACTCTCACATCCATACATGACTACTGGAAAAACCATAGCCTTGACTAGACCTTTGTTGACAAAGTAATGTCTCTGCTTTTTAATATGCTGTCTAGGTTGGTTATAACCTTCCTTCCAAGGAGTAAGCGTCTTTTAATTTCATGGCTGCAATCACCATCTGCAGTGAATTTGGAGCCATGGAGGGCAAGGAATAAGGGAAGTCCCTTGCCAGAGATTACATACAGGTCTAATCAAGGAACTTTGTCCACTATGAAACAGAATCTTCCAGGGTGTCTCTCCCAGGAGTATTCCACAGTGATTTTGATGTTTCCCTTTGTTCCATTTTCCAAATTAAGAGTTATTTGGGTATCCTATCTCCACTACACCATTATAAATGGACAGAGCAAATACAGTAAGTCCCTTACATATGAATGAGTTCCCTTCAAAGAGCAAGCTGCTAAGTCCAACTTGTTCATAACTTCAACAAAGTTAGCCTATGTACCCAATTAACACAATCTGCTATGTTTCACAGCTTTTACACTTGCTTCCTGGGCTTGAAATTACGATGCTGTAGTACTGTACAGTACACAAAAACACGACCACTTACAGAGGGTACATGCAGGTGACAATATACACTAGACACGTGAACTTACATGACTGGACATGCAAAGGCACACTCGCATCTTTGAAAGTTCTTATGCAGGGGAGTTATATAATCTGTCATCAGTTTAAAGGTGGTCAGACTATGAGGAGTCACATCTACAACTGACAGACCTTGATAGAGATGATTTTGCACTGCATCAGAACTGGACAAGGAGAGGCTGAGTATGTTCTATGTATGGGAAAAGTTGGGCACAGATACTTCACAGCACAAGAGGAGGGCTGTGGCCAAGGCTGCTACCACCTTATCCTCTGTCTGCTTCCATAATAAAGTTGTAGCTGGAACATGGCTTCCAGCCAGGGGTTACATTTCTCAGCAACTCTTGCATCTAGGTTTAAGTAAATTCCCACACCCTCGGGAATGTGAGAAGACAGGAGCCATTACCAGACAGGCCCAGCCCATAAAACCCTGCATGTGTTCACCAGGCACTTTCTGCTACAAATCTGAATAGAGAAAACTAATGTGACTTGAAAGCCATGGCTGAAAATGGCAGAGAAATCCCCAGCTCATAAAGCCTACTAGTTTATAATGCTCACCTCAGAACCATTAGCTGGAAGAGAAAACTTCCATATATTTAGTCACTGTGTTTCTTGTTAAAAGAGTTTAGCCTAACCTAACCTAAAAAATTACAACCACCTTTCTCCTGACAATCTTGGATCCTTCTCTTTGAATTCTTTGCTTTTATTTTTTAAAGTCATGTATAATATCATTGTTTTATTTAATATAGTATTCCCTTAAACATTCAGTAACTGATACTTAAGTAATCCTGTGGCTTTGAACAACCCTGAATATACCACACTGCACCACTATATGTATCCCAGTTACTTAGGCAAAACACACGCAGTTTTTGAAACAGGTTTTTATTAAACAGCAAAGTGTAACTGCAACACAATTTTAAATGTTTGAAAATTAGGTCACAAAGAGATGCAAAATGTTTGCAGTATGACTATTATATATTCAAACAGCTAAAGTCATCAAATCTTACACCAATACAAACATAAGATTATTCCATGATTAGCCTAAATTTAATAACTATAAACTATATTAGTGGATTTCTTTTCCTATTTAACATTTTAATTAACACTACTGATTTCCTTACCAAATGGAACCTACTCAACTAAATTTTAAAAATTGGTTAAATGACTAAAATTCTGCAAACCAGGAGTTGGGTTTGCAGAGATGTCTGGGAGAAGTAGATAAAATACTGAGAAATCATCAATTAGTTTACATGTAAAACTCTCCCATCTTATTCATGACTCTGATACTAATCCACTCTTAATGGACTTTACAAAGTTGATCTGCTGGGTACTACAAATAAACCTGAGACCAAACTCTATTCTCTTCCAGGTGTGGTTTACATAAGGTTAGCCAAACTTAATCCATTTTTTAAAAAATATTCCTTCCAAAATCCAATCTGTGCCAGAGAGAACATAATCTTGAGTAGAAACATTTGTAGTTGGTTACAGGTACTTACCAAGTACTTTTCCCATCCTATTTCTATTTTTCCTTAAAAATTTCTATTTCAAACACACACACAACCAGAATTCATCTTTTCAGATACCAAGTGGGTTATTTTGTGCAAAGGAAGTTTTTAATAAAAAATCTTCCCCATACCATAATTCAAAGAAAAATCTTCATTTTTATAGCCTTCATTTTCAATTAATGAAAGAGAAAACTACTATCCTTACTACTAAACAATAAATAAACCCTAACTGAGAAAGTATCTTATTTTGGTTAAGTTTCAACAGTTAAGAGTTCAGGCTACTCTCCTAGATGATTAGCTACTGAAACTACTTTTTACAAATGTGAAACCAATTTTTTCCTTAGGGGAAGGAAAAACAGCAAGGAAGCAAATGGAAAAGAGGCACACGATGGTAGACAGGGTACATAAAGCTGTGCATTCAGTACGTGATTTTGGTTACTTTTTCACAACACGGTAGTTATTTGCGTGTATCTCTATGCCTACAATATAAGACAATGCTAACCCTATAAATCAAAACAAATTCGATAAAACATTCATTTTCAAGTTTCATAAATATATGCATTTCTAATTATAAAGTCTCTACATCTGCACATTTTCATAGACTAACATAATACACAAACTCATGGAAGTCTTCTGTTATGCTCTTAATTTTTCCTAGATCTGACATTATCTTCATAAATACTCAGTGAAGCCACAAACAAAAGTACTATAACTTTTGGGATCTATCCAAGTTTTAAAGAAAAAAAAGATCAGCAGCAATTCCATAAGACATAAGAGATATCAATTCCTTATTTTCTTTTGCTTTTTGTGTCAGTTGTTTGAAAAACACTAGAAGCTGACATGAGATTTTCTATATATTGTCCGAGAACTTGGTTTTCTGATTTTAGCTTCAGATTTTCTTCCTTAACTGCATCTACTCTTGCAGACAGATCTATATCAAAAATTAAAAAGTGCATTATCAATAAAATGGTGACAATGACTTCATATTACAAAATGCTTATTAAGATTTACTCTTAAATACCACAATCCTGAGTTTTCTGTTTTTAAATTCAGACTACTTTAGAAGTTATGTAAACAAACTAAGCTGAGTATTCCTAAAAAGAGATATCACATTAGGTTAAATGTTATACTTTGCAAACAGCATTTTTGTTAAGTAGTTAATTCTTAAAATGGCTGTTTTTTAAAAATATTGTTATGTGAATTTGGTTCATATCTTAGCATCATAAAACCATTATTCTTTACTATAAGTGTTTAAGAAAATGTAGCAGGTGAACATAACTAAATTTACATACTGGATATAGGCAGTCAGTTTCCAAACAATTCATCATTTTGTATTTTTGCATTAGCAAGAAATTCAAAAGAGCAGGCCCTGAGGATGAAAAGAGATACTACGTCTATTCAGTCACTCAGCAACTAAGTTCTCAGTGCCTTCTAGTAGACAAGTGCTTTTCCAGTGGCAATAGTAACAAAAAAGGTGCCTGCCCTTGCCCAGTTGACACTGCAGTGTGCATGTGAGCACAAGTGCATTGAGGGGCCTCAGGAGAAAGAGCAAGAAGGACAAGGACCATAGGAAGCAAAGGCAAGTAGTCCTACAGTGCAGCCAAGGACAGCTATTCTGATTAAGGAAATTTCACCAGAGACCTAAAGGAAGTGAGGGAACAAGTCACACAGATATGCAAATGACTAAGGGTTGAGTCAAACACAGGGAAACAGCAACCGCTAAGACCCTGAGGAGAAGCAAGGAGGTTGGAGTGCCTGAGCAGGATGATTGAGCAGTGTGCGACAGAACTCTGAGAGGTAAAAGGGAAGTGAGGGACTCCCAGAGAGGGACCCGGCTTTCATTACCCGTGAGAAGGGGATCTGCTCAACCTGATTTAAAAAAACCACCACCTCGTAAATTCATCCAAAACCAAAAGATATTTTGGTGGTGCAAGGGACTTTATACAAGACATTAGGAAATGAAAAGACTCAGGTAAGTTCCCTTATAATCTCTGAGGCTAATACACTGTTTTTACTTTCATTTAAACTTTTAAAGTGGACTTAATAATACCATGCAGGGACTTAAAAGGGGTGCTCCTATTATGTTAGACCTTAAAGAGGGAAGCACCAGGAATACTACTTGACTTCCTTATTAACACAGATCTGTGTTTTAAAAATCACCAGTCAAAGATACAGGCAGGAGAAACAAACTATTGAAGTAGACTTTGAAGTTTATACATTTTAAAACTGTGCAGAGTAACAAAATTTAGCAACACAAATTCTTACAATTTCAATACCTGGGTGTTAGTCAAGAAAACTACAAAATGCAAGCTAACCTTCAAGCGTGTGTTGGAGTTCCAACACTTGATTAATAAGTCGTGTTTTTTCCTCCAGTTCCACCTGATTTTCAGCATCAACTGCTGTAATAAAAAGGTTCAAATTTACTATTATTAACTAACATTTGTGTAGTATAGCACATAAAAAATCTGCAAAATGTTTTACATTTAGTATCTTCCTTGACTTATACAAGAGCCCTATAAAATAAAAGATGGATCCCACAGCACACATGACAACACCAAAATGAAGTAAAGTGTTTTACCAATATCTCACAGTTAAAGAATGGAAGCTGCCTTACATTCTTTCTAGAACTAGACAGGATTATAAATAAGTACAACTGACCAAGATCCAAGCCTTCCTTCTAAGTACTGCTTCTCTGCTCTTTCCATTGCTTAATAAAGCAATGTGTGTGCCACAAAACATAAAGAAAGGAAAACAAAGAACATACCATCCATGTCAGCATTCATCATCTTCGGTAACAAACTTCTGTGCCTTGGATACAAAATTCTTGATGAGTGGTCTGCAATAAGAAAAAGAAACATAGATATCACTCAGTCCAAAAAAGATATTAAACCTCCTTTACACATAGCATTATTAAAGAATTAACTAAGTACAAATGGAATACAAATAATGTTTGATAAAACTACCCAAGTCTTCCCACTTAGCCAGCATTAGAGCTATTCTCCCTCATATCTTTTACATATGGTTTTAATTCTCTGGTTCTTTGTACTTCAGAGAAAGTTTTAGGTAAGACACGTAGATGGGTATAGATGCACACATACACACACACACAGAGGACCCTTCAACAAGGTTTTGAACCCTGCAGATCCACTTACACTCAGATTTTTTTCAATAAACACTACTACAGAACTACTCGACCTGCAGTTGATTCAATCTGCAGATGCGGAATTGGATATACGAAGGGCTGACTATAAAGTTTTATGTGGATTTTCAATTGTGTGGACGGTCAGCACCCCTGATCCCCTTGTTGTTGAAGGGTCAGCTGAATAAAAATATGTGTATACACACACACATCTACTGATACATAAATCCAAATAGACTGATCACAAAAATGTTTCTCGAAAATTCTGTTATTCAGTCCTTTTTAGTATTTGAAGACCACACAAATTACTCCTCTCCATTCAATCAGTGTCTTCATAATTGAAGAGGAAGGGTGTAAGGAGTGAAAACTTTATCTGGCCTTTGCCCAATAGAAGAGCACTTTCATACCACTTCAACTACTTGTCTGGGAGGGACGACAGAGGTAACAGTCAAAAGCGAAAGTGAGTGACTTTGGGACTGCTCAGCAACAACAGCCATCAACTTGGCTATTTCACCTGTTACATAATACAGGAATCCCCAGGGTTTTTTAAGTTTTACTTAATGCCAGTGCACTTGTATAAAAGACCCACATTAGGACCTGTTTTTGCTAAACAAAAAAGATCTGCAAGGGTTTTTGCTTTCATGAAAAAAGGCAAAAAACAAAAAAAGCCTTCAGTGTTTGTTTAGCAGCAGGGTGTTAGAGACAGCGCTCACTGTGAGCAGTGAGTGATACCACCAAGCTCCTGCCCCGAGAACTACACTCAGCATCTCAGCCTCAAGCTGCTATAGCTCTAAGCTGTGTGAGCGTCTAAACTGTGTCTGTGAGCATCTGTCCTTTATCTCTGTTCTGTCCATCTGTTAGCAAGGTATGTCCTAAGATAACTGCTTCATCACTTTATGCCATTTCAGCTTATAAGAAGTAAGGAATGGTCTCCTTTCAGAGAGTAGGGAGAAACCTGTGTATTAAGTGCTCCAAATATCTAATATTCAGTCTTTTTAAAAATACACCTGAAATAGGATTTTCATGACAGCTGAGAAGAGATGATACACAAGTCAAAGCAACAGATAAACACAAAATCAATGCACTCAATTTTAAAGTCAGATCTAGTATAGGGATGGGTTATACTTCTTTTGCCTCTGTTTTCATCTAATACTAAAACCAAAAAGTCTTCCATAAAAGCAAAGTGTTCCAGAGTGGTTAATGTAGTAGGTAAGGAAAAGAAGCCCGTGTCTGAAATCTATGCATGGCTCATCAACAGCTTGACTTTGTCTGAAAAAATTTAAAAAGGCAGTAAAAAGGAGTGGAGGGGATTTATTAAAGGAAAAATTATTCTCAGAAAAGCACAACAAGATTGGGGTGGAAGAAGAGCACAAAATCAGGGCATGAGGAGAGTGCTACAGAATATATCACATAACCCAAGAGAGCACTACGCACATCACAGTCCATGTAAGACTGCCCCGAGGACTGAACAATGCAAAACCTGCCCAACCATACACAGCATCCCTGTGCAAAACGGCATTCCCCTTTAATAAAGGAGACAAGAGCATTATCAGCTGTCTCTACATGACAACAAAAAAAAGACAAGTAGCCTGTTTTTCTTACTGTGATGTGATCAAATAGATCAGTCTCAAAACACTACTAGTATATATTCTAAGTCTTTCAGGAAATTTAGAGTAATAAACATTTATTATATATATGGGATCAAAAGATTTGTTGAGCTCTTCATAGCAAAGTATTTTAGCCATGGATTTTATTTCCTTCAAAATAGGACCAATCCTCAAACTTTGCAATGCCTAAATTAGCACAGTAGTATGCCATAATATGCACTCAACACAAGACTGACTTTTTCAACTATAAAATTCTTTTTCTCAATCTATAGTTACTATCATATCAATCCAATTCTATGTCAAGTGTGTTCTTCAAAGAGTTCATTTTCAACTCCTGTTCGTATACATAAATCCAAATCTGACATGAAAAGAGAGAGATTCCAGGCCAAAGTGTCTCAAGTATGGGAACAATGAAATAAACACGGGGTGCTAAGGCTGGTCTGCTCATCCAAAATGTACCTTAGATCTCCAAAATGGAGATCCCTCAATTCTGACCTAAGCTGAAGTCAGCTCTCATAAAACTTTTTCAAAAGTCACAGTAAATTTTGGTGCCTATTTGCATCTAACCTTGGTCAGTAAAAGAGATTCTAGAATTATTTTGATAATTTAAGTCCAGGGAGCAGAAGTATGGAGGGAACGAGGATCTAGAAATGTGGCAAATATTAGTACAGACCCATTTTCAATACTCACACAGTCAGCTGTGACAAAAGGCTGTCATCTCACCAAATACACCTCGACCTTCTTTTCTGGCACAGCCAACAGGAGCATAACATCCTCTTCTAAGAGGCAATTTGCGTGAGTGCTAAGTCCCTTTAGTCGTGTCTGACTCTGTGCGACCCTATGGACTGTAGCCCACCAGGCTCCTCTGTCCATGGGATTCTTCAGGCAAGAACACTGGAGTGGGTTGCCATGCCCTCCTCCAGGGGATCTGACCCAGGGATCAAACACACATCTCTTGTGCCTTCTGCACTGGCACATGGGTTCTTTACCACAAGTGCCACCTGGGAAGCTCAAGAGGCAGTTTAGCACAGTGATTAAGAACATGGATTTAGACAGTTACTGTTGTTCAGTCACCCAGTAGTGTTACAGACTCTTTGTGACCCCATGGACTGCAGCACACCAGGCCTCCCTGTCCCTCACCATCTCCCAAAGTGTGCCCAAGTTCATGTCCATTGCATTGGTGATGCCATCCAGCCATCTCATCCTCTAATGCCCTCCTCTCCTTCTGCCCTCTAAGTCCCTGCTGGATTTAGATTACCTGGATTCAAACCCCACCTCTCCTATTTATAAGATCTGGAACCTCAGGTAAACATCTCAGTCTTAGGTTCTTCATCTGTAAAATGAGGTTAAAAACAGTGTACCTCACAGTATGTTGTAAGAATTTCATGAGTTGATATATATAATGTGAGTACTGTTGCAGTCACATTATATATGGAGCCACCTGGGGAGCCCCATATATAATGTGACTGCAACAGTACTCAATAATGTTAGCTATTGTCCTTTTCATTATAGGAGATTGGAATGCAAAAAGTAGGAAGTCAAGAAATACCTGGAGAAACAGGCAAATTTAGCCTTGGAGTACGGAATGAAGCAGGGCAAAGGCTAATAGAGTTTTGCCAAGAGAATGCACTGGTCATAGCAAACACCCTCTTCCAACAGCACAAAAGACTCTACACATGGACATCACCAGATGGTCAATACTGAAATCAGACTGACTATATTCTTTGCAGCCAAAGATGGAGAAGTTCTATACAGTCAGCAAAAACAAGACAGGAGCTGACTGTGGCTCAGATCATAAACTCTTTATTGCCAAATTCAGACTTAAACTGAAGAGAGTAGGGAAAACCACTAGACCATTCAGGTAAGACCTAAATCAAATCCCTTACGATTATACACTGGAAGTGACAAATGGATTCCAGGGATTAGATCTGACAGACAAGAGTGCCTGAAGAACTATGGATGGAGGTTCGTGATATTGTACAGGAGGCAGGGAGCAAGACCATCCCCAAGGAAAAGGAATGCAAAATTGTTGTCTGAGGAGGCCTTACAAATAAATGTGAATAGAAGGGAAGTGAAAGGCAAAGGAGAAAAGGAAAGATATGCCCATTTGAATGCAGAGTTCCAAAGAACAGCAAGGAGAGATAAGAAAGCCTTCCTCAGCCATCAATGCAAAGAAATAGCAGAAACAATAGGATGTGAAAGTCTAGAGATCTCTTCAAGAAAATTAGAGATACTAAGGGAACATTTCATGCAAAGATGGGCACAATAAAGGACAAAAATGGTATGGACCCAACAGAAGCAGAAGATATTAAGAGGTGGCAAGAATACACAGAAGAACTATACAAAAAAATTTTCATGACCCAGATAATCACAACAGTATGATCACTCACCTAGAGTCAGATATCCTGGAGTGCAAAGTCAAGTGAGCCTTAGGAAGCATCACTACGAACAAAGCTAGTGGAGGTGATGGAATTCCAGTTGAGCTATTTCAAATCCTAAAAGATGATCGTGTGAAAGTGCTGCACTCAATATGTCAGCAAATTTGGAAAACTCAGCAAGAGGCCACAGGACTGGAAAAGGTCAGTTTTCATTCCAATCCTCAAAAGAAGACAATCCCAAAGAATGCTCAAACTACCACACAATTGCACTCATCTCACACGCTAGTAACGCTCAAAATTCTCCAAGCCAGCCTTCAACAGTACGCGAACCATGAACTTCCAGATGTTCAGGCTGGATTTAGAAAAGGCAGAGGAACCAGAGATCAAATTGCCAATATCTGCTGGATCATTGAAAAAGCAAGAGAGTTCCAGAAAAAACATCTACATCTGCTTTATTGACTATGCCAAAGCCTTTGACTGTGTGGACCACAACAAACTCTGGGAAATTCTGAGAGAGATGGGAATACCAGACCACGTGACCTGCCTCTTGAGAAATCTGTATGCAGGTCAGGAAGCAACAGCACTGGACATGGAACAACAGACTGGTTCCAAATTGGGAAAGGAGTAAGTCAAGGCTGTATATTGTCACCCTGCTTATTTAACTTATATGCAGAGTACATCATGAGAAATGCTGGGCTAGATGAAGCACAAG